ATTCAATTTAAAAAAAAATAATACCGATATTGAAATACGTCATGTAAAATCCGAATATAAAAGTAAAAAAATTAAAAAAAATATATATAAAATAATCGTTATTAAGATTAATAAAAAAGACAAAAATATAAGGTATACATACATATACTTATTTAATTTTATGAGAACAAAAAGAATGTTATCTTAGTTACTATTTTACATTTAATTTTAGTTAAATTCTATAAATTTAATTTATTAAATATTTTTTAATGTATTCGTTGACTGAACGTAACATTTTTTTCCATTACATGTAACAATTCTTTCTCTTATTTTAAAACATAAATTTATAGCAATATTATGTACATTAATATTGTTTTGTTAATTAAATTAGTTTTATTTAATGTAAATAAATTTAAGCAATATTTTTAGTAAACTTAATTAACAAAATTTTAATTAATTAAAAAAAAATTAATAATAATTCATAGACGTAAGTGTATATAAGAAAAATTATTTTAAAATAAGAAAAAAAAATTAAGTGTTCACCATTTGAAGTTCAACCTCATTGTGGAAGTCAAAATACTCAAAATTTTAAAATATCACAAACTCAAAAGACAAAACAAAAGAGATTGATATCACAAACCAAAGAGATTGACAGAGAAAGATATCACAAACAAAAGAGATTGACATCAATTGTTACACAAATTTGAGAACTTTTAAATCTAATATGTGTTTCCGTTCTGAAAAATTTATATGTACTTCATCACAATTAATCAGGCTTATTATTTTAAATTAACAGGGATCTTCCAAAATGAGGTAGATTATTAAAACGGTTAACTTAAACTTAGTTTTTTAATAGTAAAGAAAAGTGTAATTAAAAAGAGACATTTCCTCACACTGAAATCGTAGCAAGATTGCTGTAATCAGAACCTACATATGTGCTAAATTATATAGTAAACAACACTACTGCAATTTCGGTGTTATGGATTTTTAAAAATTAAGTTGAGTGCATATTGTAATACTACTTATAACTTCTTACACAATTCACAGAATTTATAATTTAATAATATATAGCTTTGTGGTTTTAAAGAAAAACTGGATAAATCGAAAAAAATGTTTTTCTAGTAATTTAAGTTCAAAGTTTAAATTTAATTTTTAAACTAAATTGTGGCTGTTAACTTCGGAACTAATATAAGAAATCAAATTACACCAACAATATATATAGATGTAACTATATTAGAACCCGAATTTGCACTAAAATAAAGACTTACACAATTCGAATTAAACAGTTTTTGTTTTTAACCACATTTCATTGAGCCAATCATTTATTTGTAATTCAATTTCCGGAAATGTAATGTCATTATTATTAAAGTTAATAATATAAGAAATAGTTATATAAAATTTTCAAATTGAATACAATTTAATATATTATCTTTGATTATAAATTTTACTATTGGCTCTAAATTTAAAATTTTATTTCGATTACATTTTTTACATCGAAAAAAATTATAAAAGCCTTGGCAAATACGCAATAATTTTTTTTTAAATAGAGATGAGATTTTGATGCTTCAATTATTCTATAAAATTTACAATTATTTATTAAATTTAATTAAATCGTATTTTTTTAAATCAATTTTATAAATTTTATAATTTAAAGCAGTTACTGGATTTTCTCAGTATGTTAGAGATTTTAATTTTTATGTAAAAACAATTATTTATCAATTTATAATAGAATAGATCAAAAATTTTAGTATTAAATTTAGCTCAACTATATTTTGTAATTCAAATGCTCTGTAAAATAAAATAAAATGTAAATTATAATTTCATTCATATTCAAGTATATTTGACCAGCCATAAAAGAAAATTTATACGAAAATTTAATATTTAATGTTAAAAATTAAATTGTAAAATTTTAAATTTGTAATTATTTAAAATTTAAATATTTTCAATATTTATATCGAAATCAAAATACTAATATGAAATATACTTTTATAAATATTAATTATACAAATAAAAAAAAAAAAGATTTTATTTTTATTAATTAAAAATATTAATTGTTTTTGAAAAATTTAATCTACTTTAATTGATTAAAAATGTTATAAAGAAATTAATTAATAACCAAAAAAAAAGTAAAGGTACGAAACATAATATTATGCACCTTATCAAATACAACCTTATTTTTTCAAATAAAAAAGTTCGGAACATTGCATGAACAGAATAATATACACAACAAAATTGCCTATCAAAATAATATAATTAATAAAATTTTAGTCAAAAAATTTGTAATTTTAATTTTTATCTCTGAATCTATAACTTAATCTTTTATCCAATATCTTTTATGAATTACGTGTGCTAATATTTAATTGTTAATTTTGACAAAAGTTTAATTTACAATTTATAATATTGCGATTTCCTTGCATCAAGCCAAGAAATTCGAAAGAATTTGTTTTCCTCCGTTATCTTGATTTAAAAGTTTTGTTATAATTCTATATGCAAAGAACGAAATTTGATTCAATTATATTTAAAAATTTAGTTATTTTGAAAAAAATAATTTAATTTTAAATATTCAGTTGTTATAAAGTTTTACTGTTATAAAATGTTCAGAACTACTTCTGTGGATTTTATGTTTCTTAGTAAATGTGTTATCTTTTAAAAGCTAAGTTTTAAATTTAAAAAGACTTATTTTAATAAAATATTAAAAAAATCTAAGAGAATTATAGAATTATATTAATTTAGTTGCAAAAAGAAATGTTTAGCAAAAAAATTTTAATTAAAATTTTTAATGAAAGAGATTAGCATTAACTATAAAATAACTAAAGTTGCATAAGACCAAAAAAAAAGAAAAATATATATATATATATATATATATGTATAATATATTTAAATGTAAATGAAAGAGATTTCAATTTTTTAAATCGTGATTTCTTGTTTTCGGGAAAGTATTTTAATTTTTAATTAAGAATTTTTGCAATAGGTAGAATAAAACTCATTATTAAAAAAAAAAAAAAAATTTGTTTTAATTTCAAGTTATTTGTATAGTTTTGTAAATTGAAATAGAATGTGGGAGGAATCGGATGTAAATTTTAAATTCTAATAAATTGCTAAATTGAGTTATAATAATCATATTGCACAAAATTTCAAATATATTATTTCAATTTACAATTGTGAAAATGTCATTTTTAAGCCCAGCTTTCGAGGCATTGATATCTCTTTAAAATTAATTAATTCATTGTATTAATAACCAAAGTCAAAATATTAAATCTTAAGGAAATTATTGCCTTAAAAGTTATTCTAAATTTATAATTTGCCAAAATGTAAGGTACAGCCGAATCTGACATAAAAGAAGATCAATTCATCAGACATTCAAAGTAAAAAGTCTTATCAATCATTAAACAATAAATTTTATTAAAATCTATGAGTGCTCTTTGATCTAATATTTAATTATTTTTAATTTTAGTATATTTAGTTATTCATAATAGAATCTACTATTGAGTTCATAAGTAACAAATCGTAGTTGGTAATCGTACGTCAATAAACTATTTTATAAATATTTATGCAGTAATTCTGGAACAATAAAGTAAATATCTATAATACAATGCAGTGTATAAATTTTAACAAATATTCCTACATAAACATACTTATAATAAATATACTAAACAAAAATGCTGTATGCAATTTATTTAAATATTAAATTTACGATTATCTTAAAAATATTTAGATTATTTAATGTGCTTTTTTTTTATTTAAGTGATTCAATTAAGAAACAATTATTATTTTCTTAAGAATTAACCTATTATTTCTCAGTCGACATATTGCAATATGTTGGAATTAAAGTTGAAAATTGCCTTTTTGAGAATACTTAATTTAATTTTATAATTTACTTAATCATAAATCTTCCAGATTACTTCTTTGCACTTCTTCTTATAATATTATCATACATCAACTTGTTATATACAAAAATGTTATAATGTTCAATTTGGTGAATTACCTAAAAAAATAAAAATTAATTTATTGGTTTTTACTTATAATATTAATTACAAGTTTGACTTAGCAAGTTATTGCTTATAACCACATAATTTTTAAATTAAAAGGGATAAAGAATTAATTTCTGCAAAATTTCTGACTTCCATCTGGTTATCGTTACCGTTACCGATACCGTTAATTCGAAGTCCACATTTTGAGGTTAAATTATAATTTTATCATTTTATTTTTTTTTCCTTCTCCTTCTTTCCTTCTTTAAAGAAATCTATTGTATCTTTTGTATGCTTATTAAAACGTGTATACTGCAAAAAAATTAGTTTAAATTACCATAGCAAAATAAAAAAAACTGAAAAGAAAACAGAAAATAAAAATATTATTAGAAAAATTACATAATAAGTAAAAGCGTTACATAAAAGCGACAATGCGCGCGGTTATCACAAAAGAGCATTCTTAATTTTATATTTCAGCGAATCAAAACTCGCGCTAAATTAGAGTGTCTAAGTTAGTATGCAAGTATTTTTACGACAAGAATGTTCTGTCAAAGAAAATTTTTATTTTTAAAGTAACTGTTCGATTGATTTTTTTTTTTTTTGTTAACTTATAATATTTCAAAACTATTTATTTATAAATAAAACGTTTAGCAAATATCTCAAGATATTTGCTATACAACAAAATCGATAAGAATTCAATTAATATTCAATTTTTCAAATCACTTCTTAAAGTTTATCAGCTCGCGATCATATATCTATGTACACCACCAAGCTGTTCACCGATTTAAACAAAAAAAATAAAATTTTTTTTTTGTTTTTTTTTTTTTCTTTGATTTGAAAATTTTTGTACTTGTTAAGAACAAACACGCTTTGTATATATATATAAATACAATAAAATTTGTTATGAATTGTTTAAGCTTTCTTATATCTAGAAAAAGAGTTATTGTACTTAATTATTGAATATACAAAAAGGCATATAGAGCTTTATTAATAATTAATTATAAATAAAAAGGTAAGAACGTATAATAATTGTCACATTTGTCTTGATTGTGGTTTAAGTTCGTTATAATATCTAAGTATATTTATTACAATATTATTATTACTAGTTTTATTCCTTTTTAAAAGAGTTTTATTTTATTTGCTATATAAAATTAGAGAATTATGTTAGAATTTATTAAAGTATTAATTGTTTTTTTAATTAATTTAACAATATGTTTAACAATTTATGCTGTAGCATATAAAATAAATCCATATTGCCAAAAATCTATAACAACTGCTGGTGGTACAGCAATACCAAATAAAAGTGAGTGATCGTGCATATATATATATTTTAAATTTACATAGAAATAATAAAAATAAATAATTATTTAAAAAGTGAAAGTTAGAAATATTAAAAATTAACAAAAAAAAAATATGCCGGAAATATAATTATGCATTTCGTGTATTATTTAATTTTAATGCTTTTTTATTCTTATTCTTTTGCACATTAATTTATTTATATTGGTGTAAAATTAATTATATTAAGTTATACTATAATACCATGTAGTAATTATGAGTTTCTTAATAATGTTCACTGCAATTGTTTAAATTTCAATTTATTTAAAGGCATTCAAAAGATTATAGTACTATCCCGAAAGTTTATACCAAGTTCTAAAATTCAAAAATTTTCTGTAATAATATTGCAATAATGTAGCTTGAAGATCCAGCGAAGGTTATTGTATATAAATAATGAATTTACAAAATTCATTATTTATATAATTCAATTAATTAATTCATTGAGTAAAAGAGGACATTAATTTCTCAAAAAAAGAATTTCTTACCAGAAAATTAGTCTTATTTTTGCTTTTTAAATTAAAATCAAATAATTATTTACTATTTGGCAACACTATCGAATAGTTGTTTTTTAAATCTGGTAATATTTAATAAAAAATTATTTATTAGCTGAAATTAAAATCATTCATTAACTTTACAAATCTCTACTTAGTGTCTATTTAAAAAAAAAACATTATAGCATAGTAGCTAGCTAAATTTAAAGGAAATTAAGTTGAACTAATCTAGTTTAATTAAATCTATTATTATATTAAATATAGAGTAGTATTTTTCCCACTCTTTTCTCATTTATATTAGAAAAAATATTGCGCATACACCATACCATTTTTACAATATATACCAATTAGAATTCTATTATCAAACTTTATATTCATTTATAAACGATCTTATAAATAATAAACATGCTTAATATTAATATTTATTGAACAATTATTTGGAAAACAAAAACAAAGAAAAAAATTAACCACTTCCATGCTAAAATATGTACAAAATATTTTTTACTACCGGTGGTGCAAAGTAAGAAAAGTTAAAGACAATGATAGCAAAAATATGGGATTTTGCTTTTAAAATATTGTCGTTATTAAGCTTTGATATTGATGTAAAACAGTGTGAAACCGGTCAGTGATATAATTAATAAAATTTTAGAGGAAAGCAAAAGACAAAAAAAAAAAATAATTAATTTTTATTTATTTAAGTTTTTATAAAAACAAATGAAGAGTCGTGAATTTCTAAAACAAAAAAATAAAAAAACCAAAGATTTTTGGCAAATAATCAAACGTAAAGAAGTTTTGATAGTTGAATTGAGCAATTCGAAAAATATTGTGGAACAACAAAAAAATTTAAATTTAAAACTAAAAGAGTAGAATTTTTTAAAAAATGTTTTACACAATACAAAACTAAAAATAAACTAATAAAATTATTTATATAAAATTTTTAAATTAATTCTTGCGTGTCCAATTCGTAAAATTTTTATTTAAACCAATAAATTACTTAGAATGAAACTAATTGTTTATTATTAAAATAACGCAAAATTATTAACTTATCGTTAGAGCGTAATAAATATGACCCACTTAATTTTGAAACTGTTTTTATTTCAATATTGCATATACATAGATATTTAATTTTTACTTTAAAGGACGTTTGATATTAGAAAAACAAAAGAATTTTTCAATAACAAACTTTAATAGATAAGTAAAACTTGAAACATACAAACATACAAATAAATGTAATGGTAGAGATAGTTAATTAAATTTTAAAAAATTTGAAGTGGTTATTGACAAAAACCAATTATTTAAAGTGAATAATTGTATATGGTTTATTTCATTACAAGTATGAATTACTTTTGTTTATGATATTGTGCAAAAAAAATGTAGTTTAAAGAAGTGTACGAGCTTGAATACAAAAAGCTTAAGAAAGAAGAAATGGTTTTGTGAAATATTAAATTACAAAATTATTCATAGGCTGAGCAGACTGCAACAGAATCGAAAAATAAAGTAAAAATGTTTCTATCTGAACAATTATTGGAGTTGGCGTTTTTGTGCTTTCCAGACAAATATGCAAAGATCTACATAATAAAATAATTAAAAAATTTATTAGGCTTTTTACTTTAGAATGATTTGCATATATTGGTATAAGACCAAAAATATTTAGAATTTAATTAAAAAATTTATTTGAAATTTAATTAAATTTCAAAAATTATCAAGTATTGTAATCAATTAAAATTATACAAATTGTAAAAAATTTCAAATATGCAATTTACAAGTCGTACACTTTTTTCAAGAAACTCGTGTATAAATTAAATAAAATTTACTAATATTGTTGAAAAAGAAAACCTATAATTAGTTCTTTTTATCGGAGTAAAAATCACCTGCTGTGGTTTTAATTTATGTTTTTTTTTTTATGTTATCCATTTAAATACTTCATGAATGCATTTTATTTTATTACACGAATACGTGCCAATAATGACATTATTTACGACCATGCTCAGAAATTTGTTTGCGTTAAAGCGAAAAGAAGTCATAAAAAGTACGTAATTAATTAATTTTAAAGTTTTATTCGTTTAACCATATTCAACTAAATAGCGTTAGTGTGAAACATGGTTAATGTATTGATCTTTTTTTCCTAGATATCATTACTAACTCAGTATACCAACTAATAGATAACTAATTAAATCAAATAAGTATTGAAAATTAAATATTTTTTTGATACCTTATAGAAGGTAGTTCATAGTTTTAAATTTATCTAACGAATATTGGCGTTGGGGCGCTATATGGATTTCTAAGCCGGACAATAACTGAAAGTCAAAGTTTTTTGAGTTGTACAAATTTCTCGCTTATTATCGGTTGCTAAGTAAACTTATGGCTTCCCGGATGACTTACTAGTAAATATTAGATATTATTTCGTGTTACGTGAATTTACTAATATTTTTATTTATACATGCAAGGGTTAAAAAATAATTTTCAACTAGATAAAGTCAATCATATTGTATTGAGTTAACATCATAGTCTTAATTTGTTACGTAGATAAAAACATGCTCGAAAAATTCATATTCCTCATGAATTTGTACTTTAATTAAATTTTAAAATTTAGCATAAATTTTAATAAAAACTGTAATTTATAAATTTAAAATAATTTCAGGAGGTTACTGTTCTGGAGAACTAATTTTTGAGGAAAATTTTGATAGATTAAATCTAAACATATGGCAACACCAAATAACATTGGTAATATTATTGTCACAAAAAATATGAAGAAAAAAATTTAATTTCATATTTTCTTGTTTTATTTTAGAATCGAGAATTTCAGTGGTATACTAATAATAGATCTAATACATATAGTAAAAATGGAAAATTACATATAAGACCAACACTAACAGCAGATATTTACGGAGAAGAATTTTTGAGTTCTGGAACTGTTGACCTTCGACCTGAGTATAATAACAATATATGTATATTTAAAAAAAAAACTTTTAATATGATTTATTTAACATTAAAAGCTGTACAGATTGGGCGAATGACGGTTGTTTAAGAACCGGAAATACCAAAAATATTATAAATCCTGTGCAAAGTGGCCGAATACGGACAATAAATTCATTTTACTATAAATATGGTAGAATTGAAGTGAGTGCTAAAATGCCAGCTGGTGATTGGTTATTCCCAGCTGTCTGGTTAATGCCAAAAGAAAATTTATATGGTGGTTGGCCAATGTCTGGTGAAATTGATTTAGTTGAATCACGAGGCAATAGAATTTTTAAAGTGGTAAGAAAAGAAAACACATATGTATATTAAAAATGAAAATTTTTTTTTCTTATAAAATATTTCATTTTAATTTTTTTTACATTTATTATGCAGGGTGGCAAAAATATTGGAACGAATCAAGTTGGAATAACTTTACATTTTGGACCAGACAGATCACATGATGCTTGGAGAACATCACATTTTGAACAAAATTTACCATATGGTCAGGGTTATGATCAAAAGTTTCATAAATATGAAATGATATGGACTCCGGATTATATTCAATTTAAACTTGATGATAAAGAGATTGGTTTAGTTGAAACTTCTGATGGTTTTTACAAGAGAGGAAAATTCCCAAATGGAACAGTTAACATTTGGGAAAATGGAGAAAAAAATGCGCCATTCGATAGAGAAGTATAAAATAATAAAAATATGTAATTAAATTGTATGTAAAATTTGGTAAAATCTATTTTTTTTTTAGTTTTATGTAATTATCAATTTGGCAATCGGTGGCACTAGCTTCTTCTCCGATTCTGGGAGCAATCCAGGTGGTAAACCGTGGAAAAATAAATCACCATATGCAATTACTGAATTTTGGAATGGTCGTAATCAATGGTTACCCACTTGGGATCTATATAATAATAAAAATGAGAATCCCGAATTGCAAGTTGATTACGTTAGAGTTTACGCACTATGAAAATTTTAAAATGTTGTTAAAGATCATTTAAGATCGACTTGTTTTTATTTTTATAAATATTTAGTTTCATTGGCATCTTAAAAAGCTTTCCAACGTCTAGTTGTTAATAAAATCCAATAATATTAAAAAAAAGTTGATTAATTACGATATTTCCGTTTTATTGATACCTTCGTCAAGAGTATTGACACTCAATCTTAATAGTATGTTTTTTTTCACAGTTTCTCTTTCAATTGTAAAATTAAATATAATGAAATAATTTTATTAATTAGAATCGATTCTTTTTTATGGTATTTCAAAGAACTATATATGTTTGTAAATTATACTTGAAGCTTATACTCTGAAGTGTTTTTTAAAAATTTGAGTTTAATAAACTGGAAAGTACTGAAATGAAAGATTAATGACTTATATGAAGTTATATATTTAAAAATATAGTGGAATTAAAGCTTTTTAGGCAATATTTTATTTTACAAAAGGAAATGCCTTCGTAAATAAAATAAATAGAAGTAGCTCTTACAATTCGTATAAGATTCTAATTATATTTTAATATTTTTTCGATAAACTTTCGAAAATTATAAACTTTCCTAAATTTTAATATTACAGTAAACACCATTATTCCACAGTTCAGCAATCATAATTCCTAAACTTTAAACATTATTTTGCAGCAATTTGAGGCCAATGACAGTAATATTATTACCTTTAAATTTACTTATTCTCAACTACTATAACATAAAAATTCATGCATACAGTACTTTAATTGAAGGTTTTAATCTTAATTTCTTGATTTGTTTTTCAATATTATTGGTTGCCAGCTTTTAAAATATAGTTATTGAAATGTAATTCCCAACTTTTGTTATAGAATCCTTCTAAAATAAATTTTATATATAGGTGCATATATTACTGTTACAAACTATTAAAACATATACCTTTTCAATACCTAGATATTGTATTTATGCATATTTGATATCCTTTGACATTCCGCCTTTTGGTATATTCATGTCTGGTTGTTATTCAAAGAGAATAATGCTATCTTATGCTTATATAACCATGATTTCAAAAAAATTAGTTAGTCTTCATCGTTATTTTAAGAAGTTCACAACGTTTTTAACGCGATAAAAATGTTTAATAAATTTTTATTATTAATTTTGATATCTTTTTCTTTGCTTCTCTTAATAAACAATGTTAAATGTTGTCTTCAGTCAACATACCAAAATTGTGTTTCTTCATCAACAATATCCTCAGGAAGATCAGCCTTAAAAGGTAACAAATAAAAATGTGAATTAAAATAACGTACAAATTTTATACATATGTATAAGTTTTTTTTTTATATAATGATCTTAAAAATGCATTTTGCACTAGTATTAAAATTGATATCTATAAAATACTTCACATATTTGTAATGTAATTCAAACTTTGGTTTAAAAGCCGGTTTGATATTTATAATATCACAAAAGGGAATACATTATAATCTTTTGTTCATATAGGGTGATTTTATACAAGCTTGGTTTTTAAACGTAAAACATAACGCAAAGCATTTGTAAACTTGGATGAAATTCTTATTTTAGCTGAGAAATCATGTTATTTAATTCTTAAATATAATATGTATGTCGTAAATTATGACCACCATATTTCACATTTTGGCTGGAATATTATTAACTACATATTCAATATTATTTTTCCGAAGATACAATATTAATACCATTCCGAAGCTAGGAATTTCACTCATCTACAAAAAGATTATCTAGAGATTAAATTTTATTAAATTTTACGAATCTAAAACAAAAAAAATTAAATGCTCGGCGAACTTGTTCCTCATTAATATTTGTTAAGAATTAATAATTTGGAAGTAATGTTCGTGTGTTTGTTAAACTGAGCCGATTTGAATTTAACAATTTTACTATAACGAATGACAAAATATCCAAAGTAAAAATACTAAAAACCAAATAGCAAAAAAATCACCCTTTACATGCATACATATATATATACATATATAAAATTATTATAGTTAGGTTATACTTTTAGAAAAGAGGATTAAGTGGAATTTTGATATTTTTGTTATGATTGGTAATAATGACTAAAAGTAAAGGTGATGTAAAGACAAAAAAAATTTTAAAGTGAAACTAACTTAGCAAAAAAAAATCACAAATTCTCTATAGTTAGAATAAGGATTTTATTTCTACCTTTGTTTTTGTATCCGTATAAATTAGGTTTATAAATTTACGAATCCGATAAAAATGTTTCCCTATCTATTCCATTTCTATATGAAACGGGCTTCTGAGACGTAGACATACACCTATATCTATATATACGTATATTCACACCCAGTTTCGAAATCTGATTCGATTTATTGAACTTTCAATTCTCCTTTCAAGTGTGATTTCTTATATAACTTGAATGTCCCGGGTTACTTTTAACTATTCCCATTAAGAATACAACGAATACCTCGGTAAAACCATTGAAAATTGCTTTTTCATTTTGTTTGTTATGTCCAATAAAGAAAAAAAAACAGGACAAAAGAGGATAAAAATAATTTTTAATGTAAGTTTTGCAGCGTTTTTTTTGTACTTTTAATTTCATTTTTGCTTACGATGGATGCATGCATAATTTATTATTCACATACAGTGAAATCTTTTTATAATTAACATTATACACCAACAATTTTTCTTAGCTATAGTATTGTTTTTTGTTTATTTGTGCTATTAAAAGCTCAAATTACGAATTATCTGTATTCAATTAAAACAAAACTTATGGGATTCTAAATTTTCAGTTTACATGGAAATTTTATTATAGAAATAGATGCAAAAAAAATTTATGAGATTTTTATCAACGTTTTTCAAAAAAATATTTTGGCTTCCATACAATTGTTTGTAATACATTTTATGTTGTACTCACAGGATACATGATTATTTATTAGTCAAATCACGCAATTTTATATTGTATATGTGAACATACATTGAAACATTGAAGTGCCGCAATAAAAAGTGTTTTAAAAAAAGAAGGAAAAAAAACTCGTCATAAAATAAAAAATCATTATCTCACACTATTTATTGTGAAGAGATAATCATATGAAATACTATTATTAAATTTAATTAGAGTAATTTTAAATTACTTTGCGAATTTGATTCATTTCACTCTAAGATATCTATTGCATTCAGTTCAACAAATAAAAAGTAAACTAGTTTCAAAATGCAATTTGCAACAGAAATTAATAATACACACACCATGTGTAATTTCTATGAACAGGAATAAATAGAAACGTTCCTTCAACTGTTGTGATTAATAATTAAGCAAAAAAAACAAAGAGATATAAAAAAATGCGTGATACTTAATGGTATAACGTTTTGTTTTTTTTAAATCATAACAACTTTCGATTTAAATACCTAACCTAAGATTTAGTTGAAATTATTGTAATTTAAATATGACATTATTTAATATAAATTAAACCCGATGTTATGAACGAGACCAAAATTACATAATACATTTTGATTTTAGTCTTAGATAAAGCCTTGTCTATAATATTTTTAAAAAATAATTTTTTGTACATACATGAATTCTAACAAACTTTGATTTATAATCAGTTGTAAGTGAGATGTCATAAAAGTTATAGACAATTATTTTTATATACATTTGTAAAAAATATGAATTGTAAATATTTTAAATTTAGTTTCGGAATAATTTACTTATATTGTAATTTATTATTGATAAGTGATGTAAATTGTTGTAATTTAGATTTTGATATTAGTTGTGTACCATCTGTAACTACATCGCATGGAAGTTTAAGTGAAAGAGGTGTGAAATTATTAGTTTAAGAAAATAGAATCTTATTAAGTGAAAATGAATTAACCTAAAATTAATTGGTAAATTGTTTTAATATTAATAATTTAATGTATAATTTAAAAAAGTTTTCATGAACTCTTCAAATATTAATTTTTATTTGAAGTTTTAAAATTCGATTTCTAAAATAATAATGAAAAATTATGTTGAAAAATAAAGTTTTCAATTTTGTTTTTGAAGTTCTGTCCTCATAGATCTGGTACTTAACTTAATGTACATTAAATTTCAATTTCCAACACTATTTTAGTATCGTTTTTCTTAAAAAATTATTTATTATTATTTTAATTATCTATGGCTCAAGAATTAAAAAAAAACATAACTACTTTATTTATAAAAATTGTTTGGATTATTCAATTAATAGTTGTGTCTTTTCTTTTATTTACAAATAAAAAAATATTGAAAGCAAAAGAACTTAAAATTTTATAAAATGAAGCTTTTATGAAGTTCTTTTTTTATAAAAAAAAAGCTCATTTTCTTATCATTTTGACCGTTCCATTATTTAATATAACTAGTTTTTTTCCCGTTTTGTATACATTATTATTAAATAACGGTATTAACGATTTGAAATGAAACGGAATGAAATCAAATAAATTATTTTTAGATTACTTAAGCAATCGACATGTGTTGAAGCATATTCACGGAACTTTGTGGTTTTTTTTAAAGAAAACGTAATGATATTGACGATATACTTAGCTAAATTATAGCTTTAATTTAATTAAATATGTACATTTTATACAATTTCATCTACACCTTTAAAAATTAAATTTACAACTTAATATGCAGGATGTTTTTATAATAAAACTCTACCATGCGCAATTGTTTATAGCGTTGAAATAGCTAAAAATTAAAAAAAAAATTATTTTCTTGAAATGAAAACTACAATTTCGTGAAATGTTCCTCGAAATTTCAAAAACAAATACGACTTTATAACTTTTTTTAAATAAAAATTTTACCTATTTTCAATTCTGTAAACGAAGACATTGTAAAGAGTTTATTAATAGTTCATCCCATTTGTTGATCTTAAAATAAGTCCAAAATACATAAACTTAAAATTTAAAACAAAACTTAAAAGTTTTTAATCTTATTTATCAATTTTATATATTATTTATCAATTTATATATAAAAAATTTATTTTTTGTATAAATTTTCTATTTTTAATATAAATAACTATATTTTTGTAGCCACAATAATCGACCAAACCACAAAAACTTTTAAAACAAGAAATCCTTTTCAATGCAAATACAAAGGTGTTAATAATTTATTATTGTATTCTAAGAATACCCAAAGTAAAAAAATGCTCAAATTAATTTTTGTAAATATAAAACATTGGAAATTTTACAAATATATATTTAATTAAATACAATAGAAATTGAAAGTCATAAAAATATAACAAATAGTTACAATATTCTGATGACTAATTATGACTTCTACTCAATTAATTTTATTTACATTTTAATAAAAAAAAAGTACTAACTAATTTTTCTAATTTATTTAACCTTTATAAACATATTAATTTTTTTTAAAATCTTAAACTTAATCTCATATTAGCAATATGTAACAAATAATAATAATTGATATTAATACTATAATAATTTTAATATAAATTTCAAATTATAATTTAAATTCTACAACTCAATTAATTTTTTAATTAACTAAGATTTTGTTTCATATCGTCTTTCATGGTAACTTTCGTAATAAATGTGAGCCTTAGAATTTGTATATTGATATTCAGTGTAAATTATCATTATTGAATGTTTGCAAAAACTTATAGTCTCTAGACCCGTTAATTCATTTTTATAAATACATTAATATATATATTGTAGTCTTTTTAATCTTTCTCGGGTCTAAAACGAATAAGAATAAAAAAAAATATCACAGAAATGATAGGGTTTTGGTATTAAAAAAACTAAAACTCGTTATGAATTTTTTACTAATAAATCATAAAAAAAAATGACAAATTAATTGAGATTCTTCAACTCCTTAGTCAGATTATTGTCCAAAGTATTAACTATTATTATTTATGATTATTATTGATTGTTATTGTTTACACACAAAAATCAATAAAAGCTTTCTCGCAAAATCAAAAAAAAATTTAAAATGTTTTTTTTTTGTTATATACATACATACAAACTTATAAGTATATTATAAATTTTTATTTTAAATTTTATAAAAAGAAAACCAGTTAATAATATATTCGTTAGTCAAGAAGTTTATTTGTCCTAGTAAAGTTCTAAACAAACTTTAAATTTCTACATAAACAATATAATAATTCTATATAAATTTTATTTTTATTTCGAAATGTTATTAAAATATTTAATAGTTCTTATACTTTCAATACAATTAAGTCTTTCAAAACGATCTAACAATAGGAATATTAATTCTTATAATAAAGGATATCGGTGTACTAAATCTAGAACAGTTGCATCTGGAAGCAAAGCTAGATACGGTAAATGACATAAAAAAATCAACTGAGTAATATTAAAATATGTGAAATATTGCTTTTAATAGTGTAATGATGCTGTATATAATTGCTTTATATAATATTATAATTAAGAAAAAAAAAGAATGTGCAAAATGTGTTTAAAAACTACCAGTATTTTCTGATTATTAGAAACTTTTAAATTATTGACGTAACAATATTTTAATAAATTATTTATTAAATATTACATAATTGATTTCATAAACATCAAATATAAAGTTATGATTGACTGCGAGCTTAAATGACGAAAATAAATGTAGAATATAACGCGAATATAACACTAAAAAAGCAAAGAAAAAAAAGGAAATTTTTTTTTAAACTGGCAAAAAAAAAAACCCGTTTTCCTCTTGAACCTGATCATTTGCAACGCTAATAACAAAACTTCTATATTACGTGGTATATATGAGAGGTGTTAAAGTAATTTGCTGCCAACAGAAGCTATTTTAAGTTTTAATTATGAATATTCATATTAAAGATTCATTAACATTAAAGTTATCACACAATATTAATAATTTTAAATTTGCATATATCCAATAAAAACGTAATAAATTATAATAATAAACAATAAATTGTTTATTAGTATAAAAAGTTTTTGCAAGTTTATTAATGTGATTGAAACTTAAATAGCTTCTTATCATAAAAGTATAGATAATTATTACAATACTTATTATCATTACTTTTATCGATATATGCTATAAAAAGAATTTGTGTTACAATGCCATAATTTGGTACAAAGCATAGTTATTTCGTGAATTTTAGTTAATATTATAGTTAATATTATCTAATATATATCAAATATATTAGATTAACAAAATCTGTAACTTTTAAATATGAAATTAAAATATTTAAAGATTTACATTTGGTTATAAAGTTTTATATTTTAAACAAAAATTTGTTTCCGAAAATTTTATCAAAGATTTGATTGAAACTTACATATTTATAGAGAATCCGGAACCTAACTAGTACATAATTATAAGGGTTGGACCCTCATCAAAGGTCTGTTTTACAATTTTAACCAAACCAGATAATTGATGATATTTCTTAAAATTAGATACACTTTTTTGTTTTGTGCTCTCTAAATATTTTTTATGGAAAAGGTGAAAATTTTGTTATTTTACAAATTAGCATTTACTTAAAAAATTGTAAACATCTGCTTTAGGCTAACAATCGTATTCCATTTAATTTACATATTTTATTTTCTTTTTGTCTAATTTACATATGTTTATAGTTTTCTATTTAATTTTGACTTATTATTAATTCTTATCTGTTATTTTCTATTACAAATTAATCAAATCTAATTAGATATTTTATTTACATTTCTCAAAAAATTAGACTTTTATGGTAAAAATCTTATCAAAATTTCAATTCTTTGTAAACTTTCTATTCAATTAAATCTGCTACTATTATTTTTCTTAGAAATATTGAACGTGATATTCCGCACATATTTGATATTCTCGAATTCCTCGAAATTGATAATTATTAAAATGAAATTCTCTAAGTCCATTTGAAGTAGTTCACATTATTTCAAAAATACTTTTTTATAGTTCATTGAAGCTAAAAAAATTTTAAATTGAATTTAAAATTTAATTAAAGTTATTTTGTATAATTTTTTTTAATTTTTGTGACAAATTCAAATCTTTTAATAATACTTATGGTAATTTTCTCATACATATGATTCTCAAAATGTTATACTCAGCGCAACTGTTTACGTATCACCGAATTTTCTAGACCACTAGTGATCAAAAAATTGTTAAACATAGAAGCGCTCTTCCAGTATATGTAGATGTCAACATTTTTAAAGACAACAGTCTGACAACTTTTTTTGTATTCTAATTTTAGGTCCATACTGTTCCGGTCAATTAATTTTTAAAGATGACTTTGATACTTTTGATTTCGAAAAATGGCAACACGAAAATACATTAGCCGGTGGTGGTGTAAGTAATCAAAAATAAGTCAATTTAAATTATTTCTACAGCTTCCTATATTCGCTAAAATTATGAAATACATATTAAAATCAAATTAATTTTAAAATATAATTTTAACAGAATTGGGAGTTCCAATGGTATACAAACAATAGATCTAATTCATTTACAAAAGAAGGAAAATTACATATTCGTCCAACATTAACATCTGATGCTTTTGGAGAAGAGTTCTTGACATCTGGTTTGGCTGAAATTGCAGGCGGTGCTCCAGCGGATCAGTAATATACATAGTTTTTAGAAACTCATTTGAGGCTTATCCATTAATTTTGAACAAATTTTTATATTTAGATGTACAAATCCATCATTTTTCGGATGTACACGTGTAGGCACAAAAACTCATGTTATAAATCCAGTGCGTAGTGCTCGTATTCGAACAGTAGAATCTTTTAATTTTAAATATGGTAGATTAGAAGTTAGAGCTAAAGTACCAACGGGTGATTGGCTATGGCCAGCAATTTGGTTACTTCCAAAACGTAATGCTTATGGAACTTGGCCAGCATCTGGTGAAATCGATTTATTAGAATCAAGAGGTAACCGTGAATTATACAATGTGAGTTTTTTGTTTTTACATGTAAGCTTTCGTATTCAACGCAATTTATGTATTCGCTATTTTGTCATGTGTAAATATAGAACGGAGTTAATATTGGAGTTGAACAATATGGTACAACATTACATTATGGACCCGATCCTAATTATAACGGATGGAAATATGCACATTTTGTTCAAAATGCCCGAAATAATGAAGGTTTCAATAAAGATTTTCACAAATATACTTTGGAATGGACTCCAGAGTATATGAAATTTTATTTAGATGATGTTGAAACCGGAACATTTAATGCTGAAGATGGTTTCTTTAAAAGAGGAAAATTCCCAGAAAATATTGACAATCCATGGCAATATTCTAATTCAGGAATGGCACCATTTGATCAAGAAGTAAAAAAATTATAATAAATAGATTAGTAAAAATATTTTTAGTCGGCGAATTATTTCAATTTCATTATTATTAATTTAAACAACATTCTTTAATTTAAATAACATTCTAACATCAGATTTAATTATTTTCTTATGTAATTCTAGTTTTACATTATAATAAATTTGGCAGTTGGTGGAACAAATGGATATTTTCCAGATTCAGCAGAAAATCCAAATCCAAAACCATGGTTAAATTCTTCACCACACGCATTAACCGATTTTTGGGATGGCCGTTCAAATTGGTTATCAACATGGAATTATGATAATAAAACAAACAATGATCGCGATTTCCAAATAGATTATGTACGAGTTTACGCTCTATAAACTATTTATGTAGTTTTTGTAACACACATTATAAAAATTTAATTTACTTTGAAAATGTCTCGAAATCAAAATTAAAAAGTAAAAATTAAAAGATTGTAAATCTATATTTTATTTATTTTTTTTTTTCTCTTTTGTCTTTGAAGATCAAATCTTTTAATGTTTCCTAATCACTAATGTGTTAATGATAAGACACCTTAGATTAGACGTTTTTAAATAAGACGCATTTATTTCATAGTGATTCATTTATTTTACATTATAAAACGCTAGTTTAATATTTTCGGTAAATTATGTACGAATATACCAATTAGGTAGCCTAAAATAACATTTCAAATTTCAGTAAGTAATCGGCTTTCAATAAGGCGTACATATATTATGTAATAAAACTATTATAAAGAAAATATTGCCTATTTTTGGGAGGACCCATACGTTAATTAGCTTTTTGCGTATGATTAGTATGTTGAGTTTTAATTGAACAAGGTTAAAAAAGATGAAAGCACTCATCAACACAGAGTCACAATGGAAATCATTTCAATCTATTGTTTTTATCATATTTTAAATCACGCAACAATAAATGATGATGAAAAGAGCTTTGATTACTATAAGCCTGTTTATTAATGAAAATAAAGCGTTAACTTTCTTATTTTAATAAAATCTCAAACAAGTTTCATACGTCACCATTGGGGGGGTCAATAATTTTTTTTAACAGAGAATAATTGTTTTTGTTTATAAAATAATCCCCTCTATTATGAACATCGGTATCGGCCGATATATTATCGGCAGTTCTCATCGGTTTTGGGTTTCTTCTGTATTATGAACCGATACCGATAAAAATATTTCAACCGATTAAAAGAAGCTTTTTCATACAAATTTTTGTTTTTGTAAATTGGAGAAAATGTTTTTTTTTCTAATGACATTTGTTTTCTTTCAAAAGTTATTTTCAAAAAATTTTTAAAACTATTTTGAATTTGGTTTTGATGTGCTAAAAAGTTGTAGTAAGAAAATTATTTTCTGTTAAATTTGTAAAATAAAAGTATACATATATCGGGAAAATGTCACGTGCATTATATTTTGAAAGTGAAGAAACGGTAGTAAGTGAAGAAACGCAAGCTATTCAAAGACGACATATAAGAGATTCAACTAATCCATTGGATTTAGACAACAAAATGTATGTTTATGTACCTATTTTATTTTATTATTTATATAATATGTACACATTTTTTAGGTTTATCCAGAATTTCAGATTATCATTCCTTGCCAGGTTTAAGTCCTCTTCCATTTTTTCTACTAACCGCGCAATTTGTTTTTTGTTGCTTACGATTTTACTCCTAAATAAAATATATGAATAACATTTTGAAAGAAAATAATTTAGAAAAAATGCTTACATTTTAAAAAAGCAATTAATTACACCAGTTTCCTTGATAAAATGAAGATTTTACAAAAAAAAAATCTGTCGTCTAAAAATTTGTACCCGCTTTTAAATCGGTGAAAACCCGACAATTTATCGTTTTCATAATACCAGCTAATACGTTTACTATACAGGGAAAAAAAGCTTTCCCGACTCCGATAAAATTTACCGATAAACAATGTTGGTAATACAAACACAAAATTTTGCCGATAAATTATCGTTTATCGGCCGATACCGATATACATAATAGAGGGGAATTTTATGTAATTAATATAATATTGTAGGAGATAATTTATTAAACGGGTTTCCCGTAAAAATGAATTTTCATGTACATATGTATAGTTATAAATACAAAACGGTTGATATCAATTGGAAAGCTATTGTCATAACAGGAGAAAAACTATAATAATGCAATATTTAAAATTTTTTCAAAAATATTTAGAACAACCGCTTCAAACAGAAATATGTCCCAAAAGTATTAATTTCCAATATCTAGTAGTAATATTTCCCATTATTTTTTCTATTGTACAAGATTTTTTTTTCATTTTCGCTACTCATTTCTTCTATGTACGAGAACTTACACGCAATGATTTCTTAGATTCAACACATGATCTCGTATTTGTCTCATAACATGTTTCTCGCTCCTATAGTATATATTACAACCGAAAGTAAGGAAATGTATTATTTCCTCACTTAATGGATTGTAAGGAAATTGTATTATATGAACATAATTGTAATTTTTATTGGCAATTCAATCAACACTTTTCACTTAAATGGAAGATAAGCATAAGTTGATAATATACGAGTAATATCCAAGAATTTTCTAAAAAAATCGGCTTATTTATTTATTAATCCACACATGCACACTAAATTAAAATATGGGAACAGAAAACGAAAAAGAGCATATTTACAATTTTATCGTAAAAGAATTTTTTCTCATTCTCACTTAAACTAAGAACACTTAAGACTTAAAGAATCTTAGCATTTTAGAAAATAAATGATGATATCAAACTTTAAAAATTTGACCCGCATTATTTTCTTACACCGTTATTTGATTACCATAGAAAAGTGTAGAAAACTTTCATTGAAACGTGAAAAAGCAATGTGAGCTACTTTTTCAGTTATTTACATACATATATATATATACATTTGGTTATAAATTTCTACAAAGCAAATTTTTTTTTTGCTTTATACAATATAATTACAAATATGTACTTCCCTTTCGTTTAAATATTTGAAACATTTTTTTTATTATTTTTTAAAAAAAACTATTTGCATGTACACCTTTCGGGAACATAAGGAAGCTAACGTTTTTTTTATCTATTTTCTCATTAAAATATGGGAAATACGGGCTTTCCTACGTACTTGGAAATTTATTTGCAATGTGAAACTTTTCAATTAAGAGTAAATAACCAATAACTTAATATTACAATAAAAAAAAAACTTTAAAGAAAAAGCTTAAAATAATTGCTAAAACCGCAAAGTGGTTCATTGAAAAGTCTATAAAAACATAGTGGAAAGTTGAATTCTTGTTAGTAGACAAACGGATTTTTAAGACGATATTCATAATTCTCAAAATTATTAAATTTTAAAATAATGATTAAAAATTTACTATTTTTTACATTCTTATTAAGTTTTAATGTAATTGAATCAGCTAATCAATTTCATGGATATGCAAAACGTTGTAAGAAATCTCCTACTACAGCATTCGGAACTAAAAGTAAAGGAGGTATTATAAAAAAAACAAAGCATATAAAGATAATTTAATATATTAATTATTACTTATGAGAATTGTGACAACAGTATTTGCTCTATTTTGCGCATTTATTAATTTTGAAGCAACATATTGGTTTATTTAGTGCAATATTATAAGTAAAAACATTTCGTTTATGAGTACGTTGAAACTACAAAACATAAAAAAGTATTTGAAAGAATATTTTTTTTATTCATAAATAATAATAATTATTCATAAATTTTTATAACGAATATTTTACAAATATATGAATCTGCCGAAGAATCAATAAAGTGATAAGATAAATTTAACGAAAATTATATACCGAACATATTCAAACTTGTAAGACAAAGCTTTTTCAATATAAACATTTGAACACAATAACCAAAAACCATGAAGTGGTCATGAAACAGTTGAATAGAAAAAATGTTAAAGATATAATTTTCCCACAAAACACAAAAGCTGAATGAATCACATTTAGTTACTTAATTTTGCCTTTAATAATGTACACTATGTTAGCAAATTGAACTACATATTTTATAGCAAATTAAACTACATACATTTACCGGATATTTGGCAATCACTACTTCGACTCAGCTATTCAATCAAAACCTGTGTCTAAGAAAATTTAAATCATTTTAAAATCACTAAGTAGATATGTATTTACATTAATAGTTCTCAAGATATGCGACAGAAAATTTTCCTGCATATTGATTTACCAGATAAAAATCAAAGAATAATTATGTATATGAAATTATTTCTAAACAATGCAGATAACATCAGTTAATTTGTAAAAATAATTATTATAATTGCAAGAGATGTTTTAGATTAGTGTTAATAACATGTAAAATTACGATATAATAACGAGTTGTACAAAAGCCCGTATAAAATAAAAAGTACTTTAGAATTGAAGTGCGTAGGTACTAATTTTTAATACTTGAATAACTACATTATTTAGGCGTCCTTCATATTTTCATTGTTACATTATGATTTCAATTTCAGAAACCTATTAATTTGCAAATTTATTTTTATATTTATAGATGCATTTTGTTCCAATCAATTAATTTTTGAAGATAACTTTGACAATCTTGATTTAGGAAAATGGAAGCAAGAAATTACATTAGGCGGTGGTGGGGTAAAATATACATGTTATTGTAGAAAATACCTAAATGCAGATCTAATGTCCTCATTTAAATTCGAAAGTAATCGAAATCGCATTTCTAAATAAATTAACTTGATGTAAGATCGGCGTTTAGGTAGACACTACATGTTATTATATGAACTTTAATATTTTAAATACATTAATATTTTAACATGTTTTTGTACAGAATTGGGAATTTCAGTGGTACGTCAATAACAAAACAAATGCTTTTGCCAAAAATGGATTATTACATATCCATCCAACTTTTACTTCTGATGTCTTTGGAGAAGACTTTTTGAGTTCGGGTGTAGCTGAAATCCCTCCAGATCAGTAATATTTACAATACATTTATACTTTTTTAAATAATACATACTTAATTATGTATTAATATTTTTTATGTATAGATGTACAAATCCAGCATTCAATGGCTGTAAACGTGAAGGTACACCTGCAAATATAATCAATCCTATACGAAGTGCTAGACTTGAAACAAGTGAATCATTTAATTTTAAATATGGTAAGCTTGAAGTAAGAGCTAAAATACCAACCGGTGATTGGTTGTGGCCAGCTATTTGGCTCTTACCAAAACGAAATTTCTATGGTACATGGCCAACTTCAGGTGAAATCGATTTATTAGAATCGAGAGGTAATCGTAACTTAATATTGGTAAGTATAACTTGTTTTTTTTTCTAATATTTTAAAATGTTCATTTACACTTTTTCTTTGATCAGAATGGTGTTAATATAGGTGTAGAACAATTTGGCAGTACATTACATTATGGACCAGATCCAGCTCATAATGGTTGGGAAAATGCTCATTTTGTAAGGCAATCTCAAAAAGGACGTGGTTTTAATGAGGATTTCCATAAGTATACTTTGTTGTGGTCACCTGAATATTTCATATTTTCTATAGACGATCAAGAAATTGGAAGAATTGATGCTGGTAAAGGATTCTTTCAACGAGGAGGATTTCCTAATAATATTGATAACCCTTGGATTGGAGGATCTAAAATGGCCCCATTTGATCAAGAGGTACATATGTACATATAAAAATATGTTATATTACATGTAGTTTTAAATATGTATTGCTACATGTAGTTTTTAAAAAATTTGATTCTTTTTATATTTATGTACATATGTCTGTACATATCTGTGTATGTTAGAATCGGAAGATTATAATTAAGATCAACACAAATCATACTTACACATAAACATACATGTAGATTTACAAATTAGTTGTAAAATTCCTCTCCGAATTTTTCAGTTTTACATCATTTTGAATTTGGCAGTTGGTGGTACGAATGGTTTCTTTCCTGATTCTGCACAAAATCCTAGTCCCAAGCCATGGTCAAATACATCACCGCAAGCACAGACTGATTTCTGGCATGATCGCTCAAATTGGTACAAAACTTGGGATGAGAAAGAAAGTGACTTCCAAATTGATTACGTTCGCGTCTATGCGTTGTAAAAATATAAAAATAATTTAAAAAATAAAACCTTTTTTACTAGCGAATTTCGCTGTTTCTTTTTTTAAGGCCAAAAGCAAAAGAATACAAAATAAGTAACTGTTAATTTGATTACCACATAAACATACACACACACTGTGGTACGCATCTTAATTTGTATGTAGTGTGTACCAACTACTCTTGTACTTGTATTGTAGGTAGCGTTAAATTATTTGCCAGTAATTTTTAAATTATAGTTTAAAATAAATCATTTAACTTTTCCTAAAAAATTAACAAACAATTTTTTATTATATAAAAAAGAAATAAATTTTTTAAGGTAATTTTAATATTAAAAATTATTAAGTCAAAAATAAACTAAAAGAAAACTAACATGGCTTAGCTTTTTATAATTTGCAAAATATGTGCTATATTGTACTGACATTTGAAAATGTGACGTCATGTGGAAGAAATTTATTCGAAGGAAAATACCATGTCTATTATCAGTCCTTATAAAATGTCAATCCAATAACATCGCATTCTTTAAAAATGACGGTTGTCGCCAATCATCTGCTGCATTGTGAATTTCTACATTACAGGAGTATTACTTTCATCGTAAGATAAATAAACGGTTAAAAATATATTATGATGTTAGTATATGACGTTTTGAATTATAGTTTTTATACATTTTTTACGCTCATTTTGATTTAAAATGTTAAATTGCTTATTACAATTTAAATTCACTGTTAACAATATTCATTTATATTAATTATGTTATAAAAAAGATAAAATTTTTGGCTACTACTAATTGTAAACAGTAAGTTATAATTTCGGTAGTACTTAATCTGTATATATTATTGGTCGAAGGTTCACTGACTTTACAAAAAAAGCATATTGACTGGCATTCAATCATACACAAAAAAAAGTGATATGAATACTGAAATATTTCTCATAAGCTTAATTATTTATAAAACAGTACGAACAATTTTTATCGATTCCCATTCAGTTTGAGGAACACTGTATTCAACAAAATGCATAATACGGTGCATGCGCATATCTATCAGCTGATGTCATCATGTGAAACAATTCTGACATTAAATTTTAATTGACGTTTTGTTAATCAGCTGTCGTTGTGAAGTCTAAATTTAATACGATCAAACAATTATTTAGTTTTTTTTTAGAAATTTTATAAAAGAAATATTACGTAAAAATATATATGACTTATATGTGATTAAAATTATAATTACTTAATTAGAAAAAATATTTTTCATTCAAAAATACATAAAGAAAAACAAGAAGAATAGCTCAAATAAATTTTTTAAAGTTTTCGAATTGGAGAATCCCCACTGCGTGTTTTATCTAATTAGCAGTGTGCTATTCCCACTTCAAAAATTTTTTTTAACTTTGTGGTAATGAATCAATACTTTTAAAAATTTTTTTATAAGACGAAATTCTTAGGAAAAGACCTAAATCATATTCGAAACTAAAAAGCTTTTGAAGGTAAACAAAATGTAAGTTAAATTGAGTTAAAATTAATTCGCCTTTATTTAGTTATAAATTTGATCGCGGACGATTCAGTTTAAAAATATTATAATTATTAATTGATTGTTGGATTTTAAAACTTAAAAACATTTCATTCGGTTTTTTTCTTGCAGTATACTTTTTGTTGCAATAATTAGTTAATCTTATCCTTTTGTATAAACCAATACAAAAATTTTTAATTCAATTTCATTTAAGTATACCCAACCTAAATTTGTGTTATTTAATCATCAAGAATTTGGAACATACTAATAAGATTTTATTACTGATTCATCATTAGGTTTTAATAAATTAATTCCTAAAGGTATTTTGTTATTTATTTTACAATTTAAACTTTTTGTATAATTTAAAAACAACACGTGAACTTGAATTTTTAATGAAATAATAATGAATTAAATGAGTGAAATAATCATAAATGATTTTATTAATATTTAAAATTGTGATTTACAAAAAAATTTAAGTGGTGAAAAATTCATCATTGCATCATTATTTAATTGGTTATTTTAAAAATTCAATTGTGAGTAAATTAATGTATGTCAAGTTTTCTACAAGAGTCATTCAGAAAATTCGGTGAAAGTTAATAATAGTAACGAAAAGAAAATAAAAAAAAATTAGTTTAATTTTACACAAGTATCTCTTTAAAGGTGAAAGTCTTGTTTTTATATATTTCTTTTATTAAAATTTAATGTATTAAAATAATGAAAACGTGCTCTTTAAATAAATATGCTAAGAATTTTAATTAAAATTGATTTCCTCTTTTTTGTAAATGCTTTGAATTTTAAGCGATTTTAGATAGGTAGGCAGGTAGATACCACGGGGTAAATATTTCACGTCATCATGCATCTAAAATTATTTTCTTGAAAACATTGATTTCAATCAGTGAAATCAGATTGCGATTGAATTTCGTTATTTATTTCATTTGCAGGAAGGTAGGTTGGTGCCTACTTGCTCATTATACCAACAAACTTAAAACTTTTAATTAGACGATGATGGTCAGCTATAGATAGGTATACTTTTTTTAAATTGTTAATTGATAACCTACCTTGTTAGGATGAACGAATTCCAGTTTACTCTTTGTATTTCTCTGTAAAATATTTTTATTGAAATCTTCATTAAATTGTGAAACATCAAAAATTTCTTATGAATAAATTATTAATCTTACATTCATAAGTATAAACTGCATTGTCACAATAATTTTTGAGTAACAATGCTTGAAACTTTCTCAAATTCATTAAAATGCAACACGATCCATTTCGTTAAATTTCTGTTTATGTCATTTAAATGCTCTTTAAAAAAATATGAAATGTAAGATTAATCTTATGGGTAGTGCTGTGTTACGTTTATGTTGTTAATTATATGAAATATAATAGATTTTCAAAAATGATTTTTAAAAGTATGTGATTATAAAAAGTTTACTAACAATTGAGATACTAAAATATGTTTAATGTGCGATCGGTTCAATCAGTAAACATGTTAAGATAATTATTTAACCCAGAATTGTTAACAATCATATGTTACATTCGGTTTATTATTTTACTCAATTCTTGTGGTCTAACGTTTAATAATTACCCAATTTACTGGGTTTTTTGAATCAAACACCTACCTATCTCAATAACTTCAAAATTTGTTATACTAAACTGATTACTACGAGTAGTACTAAAAATAATAAAGTTGCTGGTTACAATAAAGAAATTTGTTGCATTTTTTGTAAAACTTAACTGCAACTCTATACATAATGTAATTTAATACACATTCATTTTAATTTTTAAAATTAAAAGAAGAGCTTTAATAAAAACAAAAAAAAAAGTGGCAAACCAAAGATGAAACCAACTTAATTTATAATAAAAAAATTTAATTATTCTCTACACACCAAACAAAAGAAGAAAAATTAATATTTAACATCTACATATTATCACATATTTAATATAAGTAATATGTGCACGTAATATGTGTGTTAATTCATTTTATGAAGAATAAAACACAGAGAAAAAAAAACAAAAGGAAAATAAAAAACAAGAGTGGAGAAAGCGAATCGAGGGCGCATTTGCTTAATACACCTTGCGAACACATGCGCTCGCTGTGTATATATGTATATGTATTGCGCAAACAAGAAAAAACTTTTGTTTACAAACTCCGAATATGTATGCAATATTCGATATTGAAAGTGTGCAAGTGAATTTTGAAAATTTTATTTTATGAGTTTGCCTTTAAAAGGAGTGGGAAAATCATTACATTATCGAAAAAAAAGCACATTCCTTATAAATTGAATTTTAAATAAAGAAGATATGAAAATTAAGAAAACAAAAATAAATAAAAGAGATTTGTAATTAATGTTTATATTTTATTTTATTGTTTAGCCATCTGGTAAATTTCAATACGAAATTGCCAATCATACTCAATTCTCTTTCTCAAAGTATTTTATGAGCATGTTTTTTGAAAACTTCCATCATGAGCATACTTTAAGCAATCCATTTGTTTGCCTCATACTCGGACTTATAAATCTATGTATATTTTGAAAACAATTCATGAGTTGCTAATATTTTAATTTGAGTTCGTTTTAGACTTCTTCAAGTATACAAATTTCGTTAAAATCTTTTATAACATTCTAATAAAATTTATGATTTTTTTTTAAATATTTTCCAATACTTATTTAAATCACCTAAATTGAATATTAATTGAACAATTAATAAAAAACAAAATTAAATTAAGTATTAGGATTTCAAGCGTTTCGCTTTATGTTGCCCTAGTAACACATCAACTCAGTTTACTTTCTTATCAGTTTGACTACCTGTTTCTTAAGGTTGTATAAAGACTGTTACCGTAGGTATTACTTAAATAGTTGTTCAAGCTAGTTAAAATAAAATTTCCATAGCCTTTAAAATATGCACATTATTTGCATAATTATACATATCGACTATAAGAATATTAAAGTTGTTAATTAAAACAATTTTATTTCGAAGCAATCCTTAGAAATTATGTAATAATGATGTAATGAAATGTAATGCGGAAATGTACTTTATTAAAAGCCTAACGGCTAATAGCAAACTTGTTAAATTCTTATATACATACATTGTATGTACTTGGAAGTGTGTAAAAACTCTAGCAATAATGTAAAAGCTGCACAATTGTCATGTATCAAGTAGATTACGACTCGAATATTAATTTTTTTATTTTATTATGACATATTACTTTAAAAATTTATTTAAATTTGTTGTCATTTTGTTTTTTTTTGCCATCAGTCTTAACATAATATGTAAGTACTTGTATTTAAATGCGTTCATAGGTAAAATGCGTCTCATCTAATATGGAAGTAATATGAAAAAACGTATAAAAAATGGATTTTTTTTTCTTTTTGTGCCCTAACTTGTTTTAAAATAAAATTAGCGTTTACATTATATATGCAAGTATGTACGTATGTATTATATATTATTTAATTTCATTTTACATAAGGTCAAGAAAATTGTGCTGAAATGTTTCAAAAAAATTAATTAAACAGTTGTTTCACTAAAAATTAAGTGTTGCGTAAATGTTGCGTAAATAATTTTGAAAATTTAAATATTTTAATAAATTAGCATTTCATTTAAGAGTTTACTATGTTTCACTTGAAATATATATAACACTGCGGACGTATAATACTTTCTTTTAAATCATACTTGTTTGAATTCTTAACGGAGAAATTAAAGCGGTAATTTACTGTTATGCTACATACTATCATCCATATTCTATTAGACATATCAATTCTTAAGATAATTCGATATTATTTAAAAAAAAGTTGAGATTATCTTATATAGAATTTGATGTGTCGAATTCCGATAGATTTTCCAATTTCGAAATTAATTTTATTCTTAAGTTATTTTAAGAATAATGTTTTAATAATACCCTATAATTTTAAATGATGTGTTTAAGAGAGTACATACATATATATAACTACGTTCTGTTAATTTACTTAAAAATTAGCCGCAAGTATTCCAGAGTATTCATGAATGTTGTACCATTTAATAGAGCGCAATCTTTAATATATAATTTAGCATACAGAAATTCCAAATAAATTTCTAATTATGATTTTAGTGAAATTAAGTATTTATTTTAAATTGTTACACAAATAAATGTTTATATACAAAATATGAGTAGGTGGTTAAGAATGTAAGAATAAAAGTTACATTTAACCAATATTCTTGGAAATCGTTAAACATAATCTAACCCTAAACTTCAGAATTTCAAACTGATAAATAATTAGAAGTCAGCAGATCGATGAATGTTACAATTTTATTGCAAAATAATCGAAATTATTTTAATTTATAATTTAGTAAACAAAAAAATCAAATAATTTTTGTACGCAATTCTTTATTTTATATTTAGAATTCAGAAAATAAATATTGCATAAAGAACTCTATATAATATATACATATGTACGTATACTTAAGGAATGTGTATGTTTATATATTTAGAAAAACTATTCCAAATATTTTATTTATTATACTCATACTTAATTAGAATTTCAGTAACAAAAAAAAAAGACAAAAACAAATAAATAATAATTACAGTCGTCATTGAAAAATCAATACTTAACTTTTATTGAAATGAGGAAACCACTGATTTAGACAGCTTCTTAACAGAAACAAATTGTCTTTTATTCTCGTTTTACTCTACAACAATATGCTTCAAGGCAATCACATTCGTTCATACTCCATATGAAAATCAAGTCAAGTAAGAATTTTTTTTTCATTTGTTTTCTGGAATTTAATACCTTAATTAATAAATTTTTTCAAAAGCAATAAACAAAATTCTACAAAATTAAATTTGAGAATTAAAAATTAATAATAATAATATTGCGATTTCTTTGTTTGTAATCGATTGAAAAATATAAAAAAAATAAATTTTTTTTCTTAATCTTGGTTTGGATTCTAATTATGCAAATTCATGAAATGACTATATTATTGCACCTACAATATTAAACAAAGAACAGGAAGAAATTAAATCCACATTTCGATATGACGAATTTTAGAACACTGTCATGCCAGTAGTACTAAAATCACAAAATCAGATACCACTCTCTTACTATTCTTTAAATAATTACATTCTTTATCCAATACCTTAAATGTGCCTTAAAGGCGCATGTATTTATTAATTATAGTATTACATTAAAAATTAGGGTCCCTAAATAATGTTTGGTATACATATTTCAATTAAAATAAATTCATTTTCAAAACAAAAATATCTATACGTAATGTTGTTGCTGTCCAACATAATAATTACTATTCGCCACGTCATGTGGCATGAAAGGTGCGAATAAAATTAAGTATTTATGATAAAAAATACCTTTACAGTGAAAAAAACAACATTAAGCTGCCAGTGCCGGTACCTTAATAATTAAAATAATTTTCACTATGTTTTACCAACATTAAATTACCCATAGCAATTTCGCAATACGAAATTTTAAATTATTTGCATATTTCGAAATTTCATTTCTTTCCTTTTGAAACCAAAAGTGGTTTGCATACAAGTTCCTTCTATTTGTAAAACATACTTTACATTTCATCAATTTCAAATTTATTACCGATTTTTTTTAGCAAATCTATAATTTTTTGAACTTTGAATTGGTGTTAAAACATTTTTAATGTTAATAATCTCTTCTTAATTCTACAATTCTCTTTTTTCACGTATAATTGTAGACTTTGATTAATTTTATTCAATTTCCTATTTGCTTATCGTTTATTTTATTAATCAATACATATTTGCGTGCTTATGTATAGAAAGAAAAGTACCTATACACTCTATAATCAGTCTAAAGTTTAAGAATTAAAATTAAAACATTTTTTTTTTGTGATAAGAGTGTGAAAATAGCAAATTGTATGACAAATATGTTCGATGTCAAGATAAGGTTTACATACATATTTGTCTACCTACTGTAAACAATTAAACAATTAATTGTTACCTTCAAGAGGTTGTGATTAATAATGTATACGTACATTATATGCATGTAGATGCCCTATTGATCTCTCTTTCTTGTACAATATATTTGTTTTTTTTTTTTAAATTGATTAGGAATTTACTTTTATGGGGTTTTAATTAACATAACATGTATGTAACATAACATATACATAGCGTATGTATATTGCGTTCGCTTACATTTTACTATAGTGCGATTATCGTATAAAAAATATAATTTGGTAATTATTAAAGATTCTTGATGATTTACCTGTTTCATTTTTATTAATCTGCATAATATACTAGCGGGGGATTATTCGTTATCTAGTTTTTCGTGATTTTTACGCTTCACGCAAGGTTCAATACATATTGAGTTGCCAATTTTTCGTTGAGCTTATGACATTTGAGGCTTAAAAATTTTCTCTACGGGTGCATACTCGTATAAAACCAATTGATAATATTACAATGAATTACCTAAAATGTAATTGTTCTTAATAAGTATACACCAAATACTGTTTAAAGCTAACACTGGTTGAATGAATTCTGGTTAGCTTTAGTAATTTTTAAATTAATCAAATTAGACAAATCTTCCAATATTTCTCCCTTTAAATAAGATCAAAAATTAAAAAATCATGTGTAATTTTTGTAAATTAACATAAAATATTTTCATGTCAAATATACTCGAACATAAAACTATTAAAAAGTCAAGATTTTATTCTATATTATACAATTACAAATTACATATTAAAATATTTACTTTATTAATTTACAGATTTTTCAATACATAAGAAGTTTGTGTACTAAGTAAAATTAAGAGTCCAATTTTAAATCTAAAAATAATATTCATAAAAAAGCTTTATCAATGAAAACCATGTGGCCAGAAAATGTTGGAATTTTAGCAATCGATGTAATATTTCCATCTCAATATGTTGATCAAACGGAATTGGAAATATTTGATGGTGTTTCTGCTGGAAAATATACAATTGGTTTAGGACAAGATAAAATGGGCTTCTGTTCGGATCGTGAAGACATAAATTCCTTATGTTTAACTGTTGTCAACCGCTTATTAGAACGTAATCATATCAAACCAACATCAATTGGACGATTAGAAGTTGGTACTGAAACTATTATCGACAAATCAAAAAGTGTTAAATCAGTTTTAATGCAATTATTTGCACAACATGGTGTGACAGATTTAGAAGGAATTGATACAACGAATGCTTGTTATGGTGGAACTGCTGCATTATTCAATTCAATTAATTGGATAGAATCATCTAGTTGGGATGGACGTTTAGCAATAGCGGTATGCGCTGATATTGCTGTTTATGCCAAAGGTATTTATTATATGAATAAACAATTTTAAAGACTAATTTTTGCATTGAATTTTTATTATTAGGTAATGCGCGGCCAACAGGTGGAGCTGGAGCAATTGCAATGCTTGTGGGACCAAATGCACCATTAGTATTTGATAGAGGTTTACGAGCAACATATATGCAACATTGTTATGACTTTTATAAGCCAGATTTAAGTTCTGAATATCCTGTTGTCGATGGAAAGTTATCAATACAATGTTACATGAAAGCTTTAGACAATTGTTATCAATTGTATAGAAAGAAATTCGAACAAAAGTTTCCAGATTTTCCAAAAGTTGGTTTAGATGCATTAGATGGTATTGTCTTCCATTCACCATTTTGTAAACTTGTACAAAAATCATTAGCTCGTTTAGGTTTAAATGATTTTCTATTAACAAGCGAAGAAAAACGTTCTATTAAATATCCCGGTTTAGAAAAATTCAATAATGTTAAACTGGAAGATACATATATGGATCGTGATGTGGAAAGAGCTTTTATGCAAGCATTTAATACCGTTTTTGAAGCGAAAACCAAAAACTCGTTATTAATTGCAAATCAAGTTGGAAATATGTATACACCATCTGTATATTCCTGTTTAATATCATTACTTATTAACACTGACGAAAAACAATTGTTAGGTAAACGTATAGCTTTATTCTCATATGGTTCTGGATTAGCATCATCAATGTACTCAATTCATATAACAAAAGATTGTGAATTACTACAAAAATTACTTGACCAATTAAAATATGTAAAACCTTTATTAGAATCAAGAATTAAATCAAGTCCCGAAGAATTTTCAGAATTAATGGAAATACGGGAAAAGAATAACCATTCAGCACCATATGAACCATCTGGTAGTATTGATGTACTATTCGGTGGTACATATTATTTAAAAAATGTTGATGAAGTACATAGAAGAACATATGAACGTGTGCCTATATCAAATCAACAATTAACAAATGGTTGTCAATCATCATAATATAAGAGGTTTCTTTTCAATAACTTATTATTATTAATTTTACTTACATTATTTTTATTTTTATTATGGTTTAGTAAACATCGGAATAATTGTAGAAGATATTGTAGTAAAGTTTTAGATGAGATAATTATTATTTTGTTATTAATAATTTGACAAAAATTAAACAAAATTACATATAAGAAGAAAAACAATATATGTATGTAGCTAAATATGAAAAATGTACCTTTTAAAATTATTATTTTTACATATTTTTTTGTTTATAAAGAAAAAGGGAAAAAAGGATAATACATTATGGTACTTGTAAACAATAATTTACAATTTATATTTACATTTTATTATCTTTCTTGTTGGCTTGTAGAATTTTGAATATACAGCTTTTTATAGAGCTTAAAAACATAAAATATTTTTGAATATTTAAATAAAAATGTGTTAATATTCATATTGTTTAAAATTTGGTAAAAATTGAAGTCCAAAATTTATTTTGTAAATAATTATTACAATTAAAAATTTAAGCATGTATTTATTTTGGCTTTGTTCTTGAGGTTCGAAGTTACTTTGCAATTATAATGCAATAATACATAACTTGTAAATTTGCTTTATGAATAGAATGTTTTATGATAGTATTTAACAAATTTTTGAGCAAATTTTGATTGTAAAGTAAAGAAATTCGATGCAAGTTTTTTGCTTTTATTTCTAAAACAAATTTTTGCCGAAAAACATAACACTAATTTATTAAAGAAAAGTTACTCTATAATTTTTACAACAATTTCTACATTAAAAACAAATCATTATATCAATTATATTGATATTCAACTTAATTGACAATATTATATTAACTGATTACTATAAGGTATAATCAATATAACAGCATAAAAATCATTTCTATCTTCAAAGGTTCAAAATATAGTTAATAATAATATTGTAACTGAAAACGTGAATAAATTTTAATAACTAGTTTTGCAAAAAGATAAAAATTAGCTGCTATAATTCAAATTAACTAGAAAATTTTACTTTTCTGTTATATTTATTAATAAGTTTTTATACATTTTAATATAATTTTTAATATTTTCGCAAAATTCTTAACTTAATATCAAAACTATGGGATTAAAAAATATTTAAAAAAAATAAGAAAGTATCGATTTTAGTTTGAAATAAGATCATATTTAATATTTTAATTTTACATAAATCTATAATATTGTGGAGTTCCTTATTTTATTCTTATGAATTTTTTCTTATTATGCATTGCATTTTAAAAAAGATAATAATTTTATAAAATATTCTCAAATCATTTAATTTAATTCAATAATATTTTACGCCACACATTACTAGCATACTGCAAATCTCTTCGTTTTAATAAATTAGTAAAATAGGATTATATAACAGCCTCAATGAATAATCTTAGATAGCATATGTACATATAATTAATTGTATTGAAAAGTATTTACATAATATATGGTATATTTATAAGGGGCAAGACCTCATTATTTTCATTAAATAAATATTTTCGAAAAATAAGAATTATTCTCTGGAAAGTTTCTAGATGACATTCATTCACGTCTTAGTAGCATGTCACATAAATGAATTCAATTTGCAATAGATATTATGTATATTATAACAATTTTTTGTTAATTTTTGGAATGTTTATTAAAAATGAAAGTGAAAAAGAAAAGTAAAGCTGTATTGTGTTATCAAACATAATATTATATAAATTCGCATATTTATTTAATCATTTCCATCTTATTTACCATATATTCTGCACTAAAGCCTTTGAAGAAAAGAAAAACGTCTTTTTTTAAATTAAAAATGCTGGTCATAGCAAAATTATTTCAAAATATTTTGAATCCCATATTGTAATCGCATATATCCATAATTCTTTCCTAGCCTATTATTGAGGCATTTTTATGAATTTTGTGATATCAAAAAAAAATTAATTCATTTTGGTCTTGATTATTATAATTTTGAAGGCGCTTCATTCAAAGTTCTAACTTAAAAAAATTTTAAAAACAAAAGTATAATTGAAAAAAAAAAATAAAAATATTAAGGTTTATTATCTTTATAAACCGTCTCTATTTGACAATAAACGTAAAATATTTTAATATAGCTACTTTTATTTAAAAGATGTTATATACAATAAATAAATATTTAAGCTTACATTATATAAGTTTGGAAAGATATTTAAGCGAATTAATTTAAAAAAATTGAATTAAATTCAAATTTGTTTGGTATTTTCAGGTTAAAAAAAACAAAAAAAAAATAAATTTTGTATGAAAATTCTAATTAAAAATGTAAAAATAAAATCGAAATAAATTATATTGAAAATAAAAATAATTTTTAATCATGTTTTTACTATCTATGCGCATATCTGTCCATGAATTAATTAAGTTAGATTTGAAAGGACAATTATTTTTCACATTATTGCTAAAGCATAAAAGGCAGTCCATTATTGTAAACTGATTGATATGAGAATTTTTTAAAATTGTTTAATGTGAAAAATTTGAAGCTGCGGTTCAAAATAAGATTCATATTGGGTTGAAATCACCACAATTGTTATGTTTACTATAAGTTTAGAATGCATAAACCTAACAAGGATCGATTCGTTACATTAAATTTTATATTTTGTAGAACGTATGTTATTTTATTATTTTATTTATTAAGAAGCATAAAAGCTTCTTATTATTTCAAGGAAAAATTGCGGCAGTCACTTGATTTTCGATCTTAAATTTAATTTCCTCAATTTTATTGATTTTTATTTTTTACATATTTATGTAAGTCTGAATAAAACACCATACAAATCACAAATTTTGTACGTATATTTGCAAAAAATAAAAAGAATTATTTTAAACACAAATAGCAGCTTATGTAAATTTATTTTTTAAACAAACCTTTATTTGAAAAACGAACTATTAAGTAAATTGAAAAAGAAAAAAAAGACTAGTGCTGATATTGCTTGTAAATAATTTTTGTTAAAAAAAGGAACGTCACACTATTAAATTTTAATATTTTAGATAAATCGTCTAATTAAATCTATATTTTTTTTGTATTTTGACTTTGAAGTTTTAAAAAATTATGTATGTAAGTAAATTTTAGCAAATTACTATTAGTATTTTAAGTATTATATTATTTTTGATTGTAGTAATTGTACGCGCAAAGAAATTTAAAGCAACACTGTTGAGACCCTTACTTTTATTGATAACTATCTTTTATGATGTATTCATATTAAAAAATACATAGATTATGAAGAAGGTTTGGTTATTAGTTTGGGAGAAAAATTTATAATTTTATATAATTATACTGAAAATACGATATCAGAAATTTTACTTAAAGCTTCAATGTTGTTGAATGAATAAATAATATTTCGCTCTTACAACTTGGTCTTGAACTAAAAATTGTTTTGACACTCAAAGGTTTCTTTAATTTAAAATTATAGGCCACATAAAGAGTAGTCAATTTTCAAAATACATAATATGTATGTATTTTTCAAAATTTAATAATTTCACTTATGTACTAACTACATGCGCTTTGTACATATTATATATGCATATACAAATTTTATAATGTAATTAAAAATTAAATATTCTATTCAGATTCTTTTATTATAAATTATTGTAAATTTATTACAAATGTTTTACATGTAGAATTATTAATAGTTTTGTGTGGCGCCATACCTAACGTAAAAAAAAAGTAAAATGTGCTTATTCTTCATTTTAAAATCAATTTTTCACTATACACATTGTACTGTCTAGGTATTAGACAAGAGAATATGCGAAGAATGTTCTGATCCTTTACTTGGGTACCTTATATTAGATAAATGGGTAATGAATCAATATCATATACAATAAAAAATGTATTGAATCGCTGGTTTGGAAAACTTAACCTTCTGTGGTATCAAAGTGAAATGTTAGTAGATCAAAATAATTGTAACTTAAATGATTTAATGTGTATTTGTATTTGAAAATTTAATTTGCGTTGAAAGTTTTTAATTTTAAAATTTATAACAATATACGTGATGCAAAGGCATAAAAGCAAAACTATTTCAGCGACTACCTAACCTAGCGTAGGATTACTAAATCTAAACCGATAACATAACAATTTGTTGTCGTAAGAAGTTAAAGTACCTAAGATATCCGGGACAACCTAAATAATGTATGTAGTGCAAAATAGAAAATTTTTTTGAATAATCTTACGATAATTGATAATTTTGATAAAAATTTATAAAAAATATTGAAAGTTTTTAAGTAAAATTTTGAGATATAAATGTATGTGTCCATAAAATGTGTACTTCATCTCATTTGACCTTTGCTGAACATTATAGAAAAACTAAAAGAAAAATGTAAAAAATATTTACAAAGTAAACTGAAACTCTTTTATTATTACTATGAATAGCTTGATGACCTACGATTTCAACGTGTTTATTCTTTAAAGAATAAATATTTACGCTGCGATTCATTTTTTTTTTTTGAAATTCTTTGAAATAACAAGAAAACAGAAAAAAAACTTTGTTTAAGATTTCATTGCTTTTGCAATAGAATTTTATGAATAATAAAAATTTGATAAATCATCATATTGTTAAAGTGGAAAAGAAATTGTAAAAATATATTCAATCTCACTAAACCGAATTACATACATGGCATACATACATGGCATCAAATTATATGAGGTATATATATAAATGCATAATTATGTTCATATTATGCAATTCAATATAAAATCTAGTTATACCAATTTACTTAAAAATATTCTTTGATATTTTCAAATAAATTTGATCGGGATATTCTCCTTCCTAATTAATATGTTGAAGCTTACCGTTATCTTGAATCCTTTTTTTTGTAATTTTTATATGAAATTTCTGATGGATTCAAGATATTAATATAAGATTAATTTTGATAGAAAATTCTTTTTGAATTAAGACGAAACTTCCACACAAATTTGAATTTTTCGGTACCGAATTTAATAACAAATGTCATCTATCAAAAAATACACATATATCTAATAAGGTTACAAATGGATTTAAAAAGGAGAATGAAGCTATGTATGTCTATTTATTTAAGGGTATATGCTACTTTAAGACATTGGCTTTATCAAACCTCCTTCTTTCTAAATTTTATGATCAATTTCTTAGTCAATATTTGATTGATTCAATACATTTGAAAAATTTTAGTTTACATTGTAAATTATTTGCATACGAGATTTCACGTAATCAAACCAGTACCATAAATAAGTACCATAAAAGCATACAAACTTTTAAATCTATATACCTTTGATTAGAAGACTTTCAAAGGACTTAAAGTCGTCTTAAATAATTGCATAACTCCAAACCAAATTAATTACATATTATAGTCGCAAATAATATAAAATTATCTACAATACAAAAAATGTTAAACATTATTTAAAATCAATTTTATAGGTATAGATGTACTAAATGGTTAATTTAGCAAAAATTCCGGGAAGCTCATGTTAAATGTCATATGCAAATAAAATATACAAGAAAGAGCAGTTTCAAATGTTTACAAAATTAAAAAGGTCAAAAGTTTAATTTATTGCTCATTTTTTTTTTTTCAAGTTTTGTTCTATAACAAAATCTTTTTTCGAAATAAAAATAAAATTTTAAAATAAATTTCCATAACAACATAAAAGAGTACAAAGGAAGTCTTCAATACTTATGTAATGTTTTGTTAATTTCCAAATTTTTTGTTAATTTTTATCGACCTTTCAGAAATGAAAAGTGAATAAGTTTTCGAAATTAAGCAAATATTTGCTTAATTTTTTTACAGCACTTGTATTTAACATTGTTTATATAAACAAAATATTAACGGTAAAAAATTCATGTGGATATCGTCTTTAACTTCAACTTGAGTTTACTCAAATATTTAACAAATTTACATTAGTTATAATCACAAAATAATAAGTTCATGCAGTTTCCATCCAGCACAAAATGTTTTCCATCATCTCTGAAATTCAGGAAAACTACTGATTTTAATTTTTTGCTTAAATTTTAAAATCGAGTTTGAAGTAATTAAGGCCAAGTAATAAATGGACTTAAGGAAAGGGTGAAGAAAAATTACTTCAAAAAAAGTTTCTTTATAATTTCTGTAGGATTTCAAACTATAGAAATAAACATGAAATGAATCCACAGCTATACAAAAATTTTTTTTATATTATACTCGTAGTTAAACTAAAATTATCTTATTATTACTGTAAAATATAAAATTAAAACTATTCAATAGCTGTAAATTTATAAAATAAAACTCCATTTGGAATAACACGAGCTTCAAAAATTTCCTTTTGTGGTAAAACTATTGGTTTCCAGTCCTTATCATAAAGATCTACTACATTATATTTGTCATTAAGCATTCCAATATCACTTAAAGTTATATTAATTTCACGACCATGTCCATCAACTCTACGACTAACAAATGCTACTGCAAACGAATGATATTCACTATTACCTTTCTTTATAACTGGCTTTATAGGTCTTAACCAAACTTCAATGTAATTTTGAACTTTGACACGTCGTCCTTGAATGCCCAACGAATCTTGATTAACAGCAATAACATCTTTATTAATTAAAATTTCCTTTATTTCTGGTTTAACACTAGCTAAGTCGTTGGACATAATTAAAGGTGCAGCCAAAATTGCCCATATAGCCATTTGAGTTTTACTTTGCTCGTAGCTAAGACCAAAATTCCCAAGTATAAGCTAAGATTTTGGAATTTAAAAATACATATTAGTAATGAGTGATATATTTAAAAAATAATTATATTAAATCTTATATGCATACCATATCTGGGTCATTCCAATGTCCTGGTCCCCCATGTGGTTGGACTCTATCTTGATTTTTTGCAAAATAATCCGTTATTTGAATAACAGACTCGAATGAATCATCAATATCACCCCAATTTCGCCACAAATTGCAATGTTCTTTAAGTGCCTCATAATTTGGCTAAATTACGTATATAAATCAATATTTTAATTAACAAATTTAATTCTAAATAATAATTTATTTACCATTACACCTTGATATTCTTGATAAACAGGCCAACTGCACGAATATACCATAGGTCGGCCAGTTTTATTTAATAAACGACCAAATTCAGGATACCCTTTATCCATATCTTTAATATCAGCATAACAACCATCTAATTTAACATAATCGACTTTCCAATCAGCAAAGGATTGTGCGTCTATTTCCATATGTCCAATAACACCTGGATAACCGGCACATGTATGAGTTCCATAATCTTCATATAAACCAAATTTTAAACCTTTTGCATGAATCTATGTGAGAGAGAATATCATTTTTTTTAGTTAATTCAGTTATTCAAGGATTGTTTATTATTGCATCTGTAAAATTATTTATTGAAATAAAGCAGTGAAAGAATCGGCAATGAAAATCTTTTAAAATTTTTGCATTTACCGAATAGGAGTGTAAACATTTTGTAATATAAATAATCGAATAGTAATCGAGTTTAATTAAGAAATAATCGAATAATTAAGAGAAATCAAAATGCAAATTTAAATACATCATAAGAAAGGTGGGAGTAAAAGTTTTATAACATTTACATTAAATTTGTCACACATGTCATTTATGAATGGTCTTATTAAAATTATAATTCCTTTGTTTGTCATAAGTGTAAGGAACTTACATAATCAGCTAAAGGATTTAATCCATCAGGAAAACGAACTTTATCTGGAATTAATTTTTCAGTAATTGGATCTCTTTCCATTTCCATCCAACAATCATCAATAATAACATATTCGTATCCAGCATCTTTATAACCTTCTGATACCAAGAGATCGGTAGCTTTTCTGAACATCTCCTCACTTTAAAATATAAAAAAAATGTATAATCAAATAAAAAATTTATTACAATTCCTTTTTACTCTTATTGGTTTGTAAATTAATGTTAGTATGATTTTTTAATAACAAACTAAAATTTTATTTAAATAATATAATAATAGAATTGAAGTTCAATATAATAATATGTACAAATAATAATTTCTATGTTTTTTTGTAAAGGCTGATTTTTTTGCTTTTTCGTGTTTTTTTTCTGAGATTTTCGTTAGTATAAAATGCCGAAAAAAACTGATTTCATTGGTTTTTATTACGACAAAATTAGTTATAATTTTTAGAGTTTTGAGTCTGTCTTAAGTGACTGCCGATATTATGCGTTTTTACGTGTCTTTTAACTTACATTTTCTTCTTTACTACCCGTCATCAATCTTCGCAATTGCTGTCAACGGCTGTCCGACGTCGCAATTGCTAAATTTTCTAAGCGTTCGGGAACTGCTTTTGAATTCCTTTGAGGATATCTACATATCTTTATATGTTCTAGTGGAGATCTTTTCTTGTCCCATTCGGTTCTCTAAAAAAACTAGAATACACCCTACATCAATTGTAACTTTAAAAAAATATTGAACGATGGTTATGAACGAATCGTTAAAAAAATTGTCAATGTCCTTCGAATGGGCGATATATAAACCGGAGTTCTGATCAACATTTACGAGAACTTGTATTGTTGTTTCATTTTTTTTTATTTGTTTCTTTGAATTTAAAAATCAAACTCTTAAAATGTACATTTTAATCTTGTCTTAAAAAACCACCTTTTACAACAAACATGCGTAAACTTAAATAATTTTCTTTTTTATAGTTTTAAATATAAGAGTAATTTTTTTTTTTTTGTTAATTTATCACTTTTTCATTAATTTTATTTTAAATATTAATAATATATACTTGATGCATTCTCCAGGATATTTATTACAATCCACAATACAGCGATATCTTTGCCAATGCATCCAACCCATAGGTGGTGTTCTTGCTAAACCGTTTTCCAAAGCATTAACATTTTGAAGGATCAATAATAGTAAAATGAGAGAACAACTTAATTTAGTAAATAACATTTTAACGATATTTTTATTAATTTTATTTTAATTTTTTAATTTAATTAGGTCTGCAGCCTAACTATACTGAATATTAAAAAGGTTTAGGTTTACCTTTTATAAGCAATTTATTTAAAGATAATAACATTTTTTTTTTATTTTGATATAATTGATTGCTGATAAAGAAAATTGATGGAAAATTATTGATAATATTATAATAAATATTCGGTATCAATCAATATACATACCTATATACATACATATGTATATATTCAATTTATACGTCCTGCCAATTTTTACAGATATTTATCACAGTGTTCTAAATTTTGAAGCTTCTGAAATTTTAATTTATTAAATTTAATTCTATGGGATACCAAATAAAGTATATTAGTGGAATTTGATAAAAAATATCTTCTACATTTTGAAAATTTTTGTGTATTGGCAATGAATTAAAAATTCATGATATTATGTTTTGTTTTTGAAGCTTCCTGCTGGTTTTTAAGGTGACTGCACAATATAAGAAATAGTAATGACATATTTTGTATAACTTAATTTTATTATATTTACGAAAGTGATAAATTCAATTTTGAATCTGGAATGTATAAATTTAACTTTATCAAATTAATAAAATTGAATATATTTATTTGAAATTAAGTTAAATAGTTAAATTAAGTGAACTTATTAGAAGCTTGCGCGCCTCCTGTTTCTCAAAAGAATAAATAAAAGGGTTCTAATATGTAAATATAAATTTACTTATTTATTTTAAAAAATAAGTTGAAGTAATGTTATGCTGATAATACTACGGTATATATATTTAGTTTATAGTGTAATACAGAAATTTTTTGTAATTACACAATAGAACAACTTTTTTTTAAGTGGCGCTGTTTTCACTAGCGCCTCTCAATAAAGTATTTCGTTGTTTAATTACAAAAATTGTCTTCTGTATAGGACTATAAAATGTGTGCATATATAATATGTATATACACAATGGTAATACAATAAAACTTTACCCTCCCTTCCCCTTTATAAAACTTCTGTGGTTCGATTATCAAAAATTAAACTTGTTATATATTATCCTCTTATTCAGGCAACTACGTAGCATATTTTAAAGTGTTTAGGAAAAGATTTTTTTTTTAACCCATTTGAAAATTATCTTAAGTTCCCTTTTATAATTATGTAGAAAATAATAAAGGAAATACATAAATATTTTTAGTTCAAGTACAAATATTATCATTCAAAATCAATATATACATTTTAAGATACTTTCCATTTCAATTGAATTGCCGTTGTCACTTAATGTATGTTAATCTTTTTTGATGAAGTGGCTACGGTATGTATACTTCAAAAGTATACATACACATATAAATATATTAGCAAAGATAATACAATAAAGTAGAGATAAGTTCCAGTACACATTTTTCGTAACTAAATTCTACAAAAAAGTGTCTAATACGAGTCTGATAATGTTCTAATTTAAAAACTATAAATGAGATCCAAATGCTTACTGTTCTAGCCTCAATGGAGACGGAAATATCTTCGAAATGTTCAATCCCACTTTGCATTTGTTCTCATGGAATTCTGGGAGATTACGAGCCAGGAACTAGTAGAAACACTATCTAAAAAAAAAAAAATGGAAGTGAATTAGAACACATTCCACTGCAATCCGACAAGCAATGAATTGGAACTTGCAGGCAAAAGAAATGTGGGAAGACTACGCTTAGAATGAAAGATATCTCAGTCACAAAGGAATTGACTGTATTTGGAAGAACATGAGCAGAAGTTAAAATATTGTGGCAATATTAACTTAGATGGAGATTCTTTTTAGAAGACCTATGCTCCCAAAAGGAGTGAAGATGACAAAAAAATATATGAACGTTACTTATTACGGGGTCTGACTGTAGTTTCTTAAATTGTATTTGATATAAGTATACAGAAAATCGTAAACAAATGTGTATAATTAATTACTCTTAATAAATTTGATAACAAAAAAAAAATTCAATAAATCCGTTAAATCCAAATTTAAACATATCTTTGAAATTTATAAATATTATGACATTATTTTGGAAATTTTATTAAAAGTTCTTCAATTTATGACCATAAAATAAATAACTTTCGTTCTTACACCTGATTTATATAAACTTTAAGTTAATATGGTTATACATTTTATCTATACATAAGTACATACATATGTATGTACATATTTTGAATTAAAGAGTTTTACTTAAAATAACAAATTTTATAAGGAACATAATTTAATAAGTATGTCTACAAAGCTACGTTTTAACCTGTTTAAAGTTTTCTGAAATATATCCACATTATTTTTTAAATAAGAAGTTTAGAATATTTTGTTGGCTTTACCGAATCCTACATAAAATTCCTAGCCTAAAATTGTAATAATTCTTTAATATCGGCAAATATTTGAATAAATGTATATGTATATGCTACTTAGCTATGTACATATGTATGAATGTGTGTGTATTTAAAATATTAATATTTTTGACATTACGCTGAACTTCTTTTTCTACTGAAATTTTTAATATTAATTCCCATAAATATCTACAATATAGTCATGGATTTTAAACAATTGCATAACAATTAGCATAATATTAAGTGTACATACCATAATATGCAAACATATTTAACTATAGGTATGCATTAATTTCCATTTCTCGAAATAATCAAAACAATTATTGTGAAACTTTTAATTAAAGTTTAATTAATTATTTGTAATGTGATTTATTATAGTTAATAATTGACAGAAAAACAAAAAAACTGTTTCATTATGATAAAAAAATTATCTGTAAAAAATACCTGTAGTTTATTTTTGTTTTTAGATAAAACCAATCAAAGAATATTATTACGAATATAACTTAATTAGTTAATCTCCAAGGAAACAATGTAAATAATAATTTCGAAATCATTAATACACTCTTAGAATGCACTCTTATATCTGGATCTTCTTAAGCAAATGGGAAATACATACATACTTACATATATAACTTGTAAATCCTAAAGAACAAAAAAATTAACATTGAAAATAAAGAAAAATCTAAATTCGAAATTTAAAACTAATTTTTATAAACGGATTTTCTTTTAAACAATATTAAGTTTCCAATTTAATTTAATATTCGTTTAAATTTTTATCGAAAATTTGTTTATTTTCAACTAAAATCATATTTAAAGTAGCAGAGTATTAAAATTTTAATTTTATTGCCTGCTGATTTCGAAATCAAATGAAAATCGATAACAATCAATAAAAGATCAAATACTCAAGTAGTTAGATGGATTGGTAGTTGGTAATAAATACACATACATATTGATATACATAGAACGTACGCACACAACATACATATGTACGTACATAACATTATTCTAATCTTAAAGATTTGAAATATGTAATTAAAGTTTTAAAAAATTATATATTATATGTAGGTATGTATGTACATATACAATTATATCGCTAAAATTGTTCTCTTTAAATTTAGGAACTTTATTTTTATTATATAAATACATGCATATATAATTATAAAATTTTTAAAATATATGTATATGTATTATAAAAATTGTATATATATGTATTACAAATTCAATTATATAGTAAAATTTATAGAAAAAACAGTATAACAGTAACAAGAATTTGGAAGGTTTTTTTTTCTGGAAGGCATTAGTAAAATATTAAAAGATCGAATTTTATTTTTTTTAACTAGAAATTTGAAAAAAAGTGATCTTGTGGGAGATTTACGATGTTAAAAAGCGCACTCTATAGCTTTTTTTTTATTCTATATGTATAAGAATCAGTCTTTCTTAGGGTCCAGGCCTGTATTTCTTTCAGCTTCGTATTCACGGTATTTTTGGGAAAAATTAATAGTCAATGTACTACTTAAAGAATTTTAAACGTGTGTTTACTTTTTACTCTTTTACTTTGTCTCCTATATGACTTTTCATTTCTATTCTATTCAGTTAAATTGTGACCATCTTTAAAAAAAAATCAAGAATACTTAATTCTCTTTCAAAATTATCATTCGAGCAATTTCATATACTTTTAAGATATTTTTGCACAATACCCTAGATTAGATGTTATTAGCGCCATAGCGGGATAAATTGTAAACAAATTCATTTTCTGACAAAAAATAAATACCGTCATATGTGTTGTCATTTTTTGTAAACAAAACCGTTGCAAGCACTGACTGTCATTATTATAAAATGTATTGCTATTTAGTAGATTTACAATTACTTTCTGCTGTAGAATTTCTATCTTAAATATTTAAAGTTTTAAAATTAAAAAAGGAAAAGTCTACTTTTTGTTATTGTAAAAACAAAATAAAGAAATGTAATATTGATTATTTGAAGTATGTTGTTGCAAAAAAAGCAAGAAAAGTTGAATGGTGCATTATATTTTTTATGTCGAAGAACGGTCTCGATTGCTGGTTAAATAATTCTTTTAAAAAAAAATTATTTAATAGTTCTCTCTGCAAAAAAGATTTAAAAATGAATAAAAAACAAAATAAACAGGTTGAACTTAAACAATACAATAATAAAAAACATGTTCAGCCTAAACTATATATGTGAGTATGAACTATATACATATTTGATTTTATAAATATGATTTATCTTAGGTATACATACGTATTTGAACATTTTTGTTAATGCTTTAATTAAAATCATATATATATTTTTTTTGTATTTTAGAGATACACAAGAAAATCTTGGAACTAATTTTAATAGCCCATATTACTTGGATAACTCTGAAATAATTTCTTTGAAAAGTAAGTCGTTTTTTCGATTTCGGTAGTTCATAATGGAATATGTACATAATTGTGTATATAATGTTTGTTAGAATTTTTATATTAGAATATAAATATAATCGAATACTCTAAGTTCTAAGATTAAAATAAGGATATAAACATCTTTCTGTTATAATATGCATATTACTTGTGTAGGTAGGTGGGTAAACAAATATTTCTTAAACTGATAACAGATAATGTAGGTACCAATCTATGTAAATTATTGAGGTGTTCCCTTGCAAATAGCATATCTAAATGACTTATGGACATATTTACATATGCAATAAATTAAAATTTAATTTTTTGATAATTTACTAATTTTACCTCTTAAATTTAGTTATACATATGTATGTATATATTTCAAAGCATAAACTTATAAATAAATATTGTGTACATAAGTATGTATAATATTACATAAGTATGTTCATCCTTTGCTCTAAATCGTTGAAAATATTGGATTTTAGTATACATATAAAATAGATATATTTTTCGAATTTTATTTTAAAAATTTAATTTATTGCATGTTTGCATGTATGTATGTATGTAGATTTAAATGTATGTAGATTTAAATGTATGTACATTTTTGTGTTTTTTAAAAGTACACAGTACTTCTTAAGCGAAAAATCACATCAAGATTGGTATAACGTACTTCACATTTAGTTCATTAGTGTAAATTTTATATATGTATATACCTATAGAAATGCCTACATAAGTGAACAAAATATTTGACATGGAAGCCATATTTGTAAAAAATTATTGAAATGCAAAATATGATAAAATTAATTTGATAAAATTTATAAATAAGATACCAGTATAAAATGAATGTCCATACTTCCATAGGATATAACAAATTTATGTATGTTTGGTTTTTTCTTGAATATTTGAAATAAAAAAGCAGTTGATTGAAATTTTGTAAATTAATTTCGTTTATGTGAATCAAAAATAATGTGTTATTACGAACTGAAGAAACTACTACAATAGGATAAAAATTTCTTATTCGCATGGTATTATAAATATAAAATTTAATTTAAAACATTTTACAAAAACTATTTTTGTACAATAAGCTTCATATGTACATATGTATATCAGCTAAACCAGTGTTGCTTTATAATTTCTTAAATGTGGCAATATATCAAAACTATCCACAAAAAGTAAAAAAAAAATATATTGCATGCATGTATTTGTTTGAATAACATGAATATAGTATGTATTTTCTAAAAGCAAAAACGAACATATTGGATCTGAAAACTGAAATGTTATGTAAATACATACACCATTCGTCATTCGTTTTACGCACAATTTATGTATGTTTTTCAATGTATGTGTGTATAGAAAAATTTAACAAATAGCCTTTTTTTAAATTAAAGAATGTAGAAAAAAATCGCGAAACTGAATTTTAAAAACACAAATACGCATTCAAAAGTATAAAATTAATGAATTTAGAATACAAAAAAAAATAATTGAACTTTAATATCCATCATAATTCTAAATCCATAAATTCACATCATATGTTCACCCTGAAATTTTACGAATTTTTTGTACAGCTTTTGTGTTATACATTTGTATTGGTTCATTGAAATATCTGTGCAATGAACATTTTATATATATGCATATATAAATTGTATATATTTATGTTCCGCCGTACTATTTTCTTGTTTTATTCTTTATATTTTTCTTATTCTGGATTTTATTCATTAATATTCTTTAAATTTTCTACATTTTAATTGTTCGTAAAATAGAGACTTCACTGTACATTCGGTTTATTATGTATTAAAAATTTCATACTTTATTTTGTTCGTATTTTAGAATTTTGTAAAGGTAAAAACTTTTGTAAACTGGAATGTGCAATTTAAGATATGAATCCATTTACTAATTCGCAATTTTTTTAGGTTTTAGGTCTTGAAAAATATAAGTTACGTATGTATGTATTTCTCTGAATGTTATCTATTTCTTAAGTTTTTTTTATATATGAAAGATTTTTTAAAAACCCTGTACAACATTTTCAAATCAACAGTTTTTTATATTTGGGTAACACTAATTTTAAAGTGTTATATTTTAAAATTTTTGTTATATTCAATTTTATTGTTGTAATTCAGTTTTTTTGTATTTTTTAAAGTCATTTATTTTGATTTTACTGTATGAACAATTTTGAAAAAGAATTTTAATTAAAACATTTTTTTCCTTTACTAACACATATAAGAATGTACAATATACATATGAATATGTTTTGAGTTTTATATTCTAATTTCAAATACAATAATATGCACACACACATAGATTATATTTTAACAAAATTGCTTGTGTGGTACCGTACAATTTTTCTTTTGTACAAAATACATTGTTAGTCAGGTATCGTTGAAATATTTTTTAGTTCCCTTTCTAGTTCCACTGTACGTAATTTAAAAATTTCTTTGAAACTTTAAATATTTTTTGTTATACATAATGAAATACATATCTAAGTATATAAAATATTTTCATTTTATTTTATATATATTATGTATGTACATATATTTATTAATATATTTAAGATAAAATAGCTTTAGCTCTTATAATTAGGAGATCTCTTATAATTCATCAGATCTCGATATATACATATGTATGTATATACGAAAGTACATATGTATGTAGGTTATATTTTTATTGTTCATTGATTTGTAATGAATTTGTGTCATTCTTCAAAAAGATAAGTAATTTTATCAATAATTGTAATATTTCTTAGTAAGAATTTAGCGTATGTTTATATTTTGCGCTAAAACTTCTATTTTTTTTATAAGTTTTCCTGAAAAAAAAATTGCCTTACAATTTTTGTATTATTAAATAGAATTATGCGTTTTTTCTACAAAATTCTCGCTTGCATAAAAAATTGCTTATTCACCTTCATTGTCAGAATAATTATTATTAAAAAATCATGATTTAATTAATTTTTAAATATAAATTAAATTTACGGTATAATCATGTTTATATTTTATCATAATGTTTTTGTTTCCAAATTTTTATTTCTCCTCTTTTTACAAAAGTACGGTATTTTGTTTGCTTCTTAAAACTTAAAAAAAATAAAACTTTTGTTTCGACATTTTCAATGTTCTGCTTTTTTTCACTAGAAAGCTGTCAACCTTATAAAAACACGAACAGTTTAATTTTGCACCAGTGATTGACATACATTCGCTTTATTTCTCATTGCTTACAAACATAAAATTAATTTATAGGCAAGGGAAATGAAACGCGTGTCAACCATTGATGTACGTAAATACAAACACAACATATATATATTTTTTGAAATTTAGCAAAGTGATGCTATGACATAGCCACTGCATACATTCAACATTTTTTGTTTATTATTGAACACTTTTTTTTGACTTTTAGTTCACTCGAAAATCAACAGATGTCGCCATAAAGAGCAAAATGAAAAGAGCATCATCTCTTTTTTTTATCTTCACATTTGAAACGTTTGCACTATGGGCATTCAATTGACTATCAACCTTACTTATTCTCCAATAAAATCTTAATCATTAAAAAAATCAAATCAATGAATAATTAATAAAATTTCTAAAATTAATTATTTTATTTAGTTTTTGCATTATTGCATTAGAGTCATTGAATTTGTTAAATTCTTAAAAAAATTAATAGTACAGGGTAGAAAAAAATTAAATCGCAAGTAGAAAAAGTATTGTGCAAAAAACATAAATGGAAGTCTTTAAATTCAATAGAAAAGTTAATTCCTGGAAAGACCAATTTTATTGAATTTCGTTGGTTATTATGTTACACACAGTTGCTTATAACATTTTAATTTTATTGTGTAATTTAAAATTTTTTATTGACAGGTATTTCGGAGACTTGATATTTTTGCTTTCTTAAATAAAAAAAAACAAATTTTCTATTTAATATTTTCGCTTTCATGTTTGTGATCATTTAATTCAACAAGCTTATTCAGATTGTCCGACGATATTGGTTTTGGAGGTGGAACTATGCCATTAACTATTTGGCAGAAGCGATTTTCAATTTCCAAATTCAAATTATGACATGAATCTGAAAATTCAAATAAAACATTATTAACACATTTTCTATTTAATTTTTTTTTGAATTACCAAAAAGAGTTTTTGATTCGATATTATTTTCTTCAAATATCTCGTACATATGAACCTTTGGTAGATCAACATATCTACCATTTCTATATTCAAGAGTGGTATTTTCACCTCGAATTCGTTTTTTTAAGTTATCTATTATATTAGAATCTTCTTCTTTATCATTAAGTTTTCGTTTTAGTACATCATAACTCTTATTTTTATTTAAATTAGGGTCAGGTGTTAGTATTATTTGAAAAGTATTTTCTTTTTTTACTATCAATCCATTTTGCTCAAAATTAAACAAACTTCTTCGAACAGTATCCTCAAAATTTTCTACTGGAACTAAGTTTTTCATTGAATATTTTACGGAATCCAAAATGCTTGCTATATCAAGTTCTTTGCAACTCAGTAATATTTTGTAAACATGGCGATTTATTTTCCTTGGAACACCAGTTGAGTCCATAATTTTGTTACGAAATATGTATGTGTACAACACAAAAAAAAATACAAAAAATTTGTATATTTTGTTCAAAAATACACAAAATAATAAAAACTTATCTTTAACTTAATTTTCCAAGCTAGTGCGACTAATTTTTTTTCAAAAACGACAAAATTAAATATAAAATTTGAAAATGGTTTAAGAGTCTTTGAAAAATAAGTTATAAAAAATGCCGATTTACAAAAGGTTTGCATTTTTTGATATTTTATAAATAAGGATAGTTTTACTTTAAAATTAATGAAATTCAATATAACTTAAAAAATAATAAACAAAATTTTTTAAATTTTATGTTTTCAGAAACAAGTAATAATTCATATTGTATTCATGATGTATCACTAGATAAAGACAAGTCAGAAAATATATACGCTTTTAAAGAAACTAGTAAAATTAATGATATAATTGCTATAGATGAAGATGATGATATTGAAGACTTTGAAGCCAAAAAGATAAGATTTTCAAATCAGTCCATAGAATTAGGTCAATGTGATTTTAAAACAATAGATTGTTGGCAGTTAAAAGAATATAATCAAGACGAAGTTGTATTTGATGAAAGTCTCATAAAGGAGCTAGAAGCGGAAAAAGAAACTCAACTTTTGCAACAAGCACAACAAAAGAATAATGATAAAAGTTTAACAAAGGGCAAGCACAAACCAATGAACAAAAAACAAAGCAATATTGGTCAAACAAAAAGTAATGAACGAAGGACTCCCAAAAAGATTTCTTGTAAAAGTGTTAGAAGTAAAATTTCTTGCAAAAATCCAGTTGAGCAAGAGAACGAAAAAGCAGAATCTAAAACTTCTTTTTCTGTTGTAGGAAATTCTACCGATGTAGATTTAACAGGAAAGGGACAAGCAATTTTGAAGAAAAATAAAAAAGAATCTAAACGGTCAGGTGAGAACCTATGCGATAATAAAATCGATTATGGGGTATCAAAAATTGATGTACAAAAAAGTGCAGGAGAATTTGATATTGAATATCATATAACAAAAGTAGCAGATACTACCGAATGCAAAATAAATTCACCAGAATTAAATGGCAGCAAATTGATAGTCGAGGAAATAAAAAAAGTCAATCAAAAGAAGAACAACAATATGTTTATCACAGGATTTTTAGATTTTCTTTCGAAATCATCAGGAGATGTGCGAGATTTGATAAAAAAGCGAGACCAAAATACTCCGGTAAAGGAGGATTCCACATTAAGTAAAACACAGTCCACAAAAACCACTAGGAAAAAAAAAGGTTCCCTTCCTAAAAATGAACTCACAGATGCAAAAGAAGACAATAAAAAGAAGACGACGAAAATCGTTTCTGTCGATTTAGAAAAAAGTGAGCTTATACATACGAAGAAAGATAATACAGAAGTACTTTGTGTCGATATAGAAAAATGTAATTCAGAATTTTATGATGAAAACTCGCATGCTTCAGAATCTTCTGTTCAGAGTATACATTCATATGTTCAAAGTATATGCTCATCAGATACAGATTCCGCGTTATTAAATACTAGTTCTAAAAACAAAAAAGGTGCCCGTGAAGAACAACATGATTTTCTCATTACAGATGTTTTGAAAGAACCAAATAACACTATCACAAATGTTATTGATTTGTCTGATGTGTCTTCAGATGTTGAACACCAAGAGAAACTGCTTAATGCAGTTAACAAAAAACAAAACCACAATAGTAAACCCAAATCTGTTAGCAAAAGAATTTTAAAAACGTCCTCAGTTGATTGTGCTGTTAAAGCAAAAGGACAATTGGAAAATGAAACTATTACCAAAGCACACATTTCGTTGCTTGATGAGAATGAACAACCATCTAAAATTGAGTTACCTCAAAGTGTTGACTATCAAAGACTCCTTTTCCAAAATGGAAATTTAATGATACCCAAAATTGTGAGTATAGAGTTAATAGAAGGTAACTGCAATGAGGAAAATAATTTAACTCAAAGTGCTTTAAATTCGCCTCCTCTACACTCAAACAATGGCCAGATTTGTATTCAGGTTCAAAACATTACATCAACCGTTATTAATGGTTCTCAAAATAACCACAATAAATCTAATGAGTTTTTAAAATCAGCTACAATTGTACAAGGTTTGACACAAAGTAAAGGCAAAGCAGATGCCGGCTGTAATAACATCAATGAAAAAAACTTAACAGAACACACAATCGGTTGTAACAGTTCGGCAAACTCCAATTGTAACTCAAACTTAAAATTTGATCACTTTAAAAGCAAACAGAAACCTGTTACAAAAAACAAAGAAGGAATAAAGAAAAATCATTCATTTGAAGTAGGAAATTTCGTTGTATTTAAAAATGAGCTTTACAGTAATAGTTGGCCGGTAATCTTTGAAGTTATAACTTTAACGGCATTGAAGAGGTATGAACCAGTTTTCGAAAATTGTCGATGGTTGTATAAAAGTACACTATCTTATTTACGCTTTCAACAAAAAAAAAATTGCATAAAGGTACCTGTAAAAATATTGAACACGGATAATGGAATAATAACTGCTCAATTAGATAGAATGGAAATTGATTACGATTATAGCAAGTCTATTAAAGAAAGTTTAGTTAAATATGAAGAATTAAGAGAACCTTTTTTCAATTATATGTTAACTGTTGTTTCACAAGCTTTAGATTTTAATTTTTTCCAAATAGCTTTCCAAGAAAACAATCACAACATTATGTCAAAAATTTTGTTGATTGATAATATTATAACAAAAGCTGTACAAAAATGCAAAACTTCTATTAATTGGAGTAATTTACCTCAACCTTCCATAGATGAATTATGTCATTGCACATGCAAAGTTCCAAGTAAAGAAGAAATTAAAGAACACCGGTGTTACATGTGTTCCTCAACCAATATTAAAACTTCCTTAGTATTTAGTGGGCATCCTTATAATAAGCTGACGTTGAAATTATTGAAAAAAAATGAGATTTGGATTGAAGAAGAGTATTACTTTTGTCAAGTATGTTTACAGAATGTGACTTTAATACATAAGTTAACTCATATGAAATATTCACTGTATGTAAAATGTAAAGCAAAATTATCTGAGATCAGAGATCCTAATGATGTTGTATTAGATACTAAAAAAATTTTAATATCCATATTAAATGATACCACATGGCTAGAAGAATTATTTTCAGAATTTATTTTAAATTTAGCTGAAGTTGATTTCATAGAGAAAATTCATGCGACATAATTACTTTTACTAATAATATTGTGGAAAAATATTAACAATAATTTAATAAATTATTTAATTTAAATTTTGCATAAAACGATGCCATAGAAAACTAATTTTTATTATTTATTAGAGTTACGAAAGAATTGCTTAACTGGAAAAATTACCAAAAATAAATTCACAATATAAGCTAAATTAACAGAAAACTCGTACTTTATATAATTAAAATCTAGAACTAAATTTATTATAATTACATATTATGTTGTTAGAGGTACAATAATTTAATTTTAAGCCAGTTATATAAAACTATGTACATATTATATAAAAATCAATGATTTTTAACTCTAAGGAAAAATAAAAATTTGAACTATGTAATTAAGTATTTAACAATAATTCTTTTTTTTTTTTGAAAAAAAAATGTAAACTCAAAATATCATAGCTTCTGTTATTTGAAACTAGCTTTATTAATTCAAAAAAAGAGGAAAACCTAATCGAATAAATAACGTAAAAATCTTATAATTGAACACTTTTTAATATTCTTTTAAAAATTAAATGAAAAAAATTACTTTTATTAAATTTTATATTAAAAATTTTTGTTTTATACTCTAATAATTAAGGAGTCTTAAGAAAAGCAAATGTTTATAAATTGTTACATCTTTTAAAAGATATTGAATGGGAACTTTTGTAATTCTATTCTATATTGGAAAAGGATTTTTTCAGCCCTCAGTTTGAATTTTCTGAGCCTTTAAGATCAACTGTTATTGAAGAGCACCAGAAACAATATTTTTAAACATAACATAAATAAATGCATTATATAATATACGTTAGAACTTTTTAGCAACACAATTTTAATTGCTAAAAAAATAAATAAAATTTACCTTAGATCTAAATTTTGGTGCACGCCCAATGATTTAAGATTTTTTTTTATTTTTAAACATTATTAAAGAAATAAGTATTTAATTTTTTTGAATTTAAAGAAAAAAGAAAAAGCACTTGACTCTTATAATAAAAATAAAATTATGAGTTTTTTTGCATAGTTTTACTTTTTTCATGAAAAATAATTATGTAAGTAACTAAAAAACGAAAACTTTGTGGAATTTTGTGCTTAAATTCGAAAACAATACAAAAAATTAAAACTGAATAAGTTCACGTGTATGTGTAAAAGGATATTTTATTTTTTTTTATATAATTCAAAAGAAAGGAGCAGCTAAAATTAATGAAAGTCGAATAAATATTACAGTGTGCTAAAATTATTATTGCGCTCCAAAAAAAAAAATAAAATGAAAGAAATTTAGGTTGTTACATTTAGTTTTATAGTCTCGGAGGTTGAAGTTTTTTAATAAAGTTGTTTTCTTTTTAATGTTACGTTTTAATAAAAGTAAAGTGAATGAAATATTACAATTTTTCTATACATGAAATGTAATTTTTGAAAAGTAATACAAATTCAAACCTAAATGCTTATTTTAAATTTATGATATTTTTGTTTTTTCTTTTTTATATTATTATTCAAAAACATTAGTTTTCCAACCACTTATTTTGGAGTTTGAGTAAAATACATTTAAAAAAAAAATGAAGCATTCCTGCTGATGATTAGAAAAGAATAAAATAATTCGTCAACTTTCCGTACAAATAATGTATTTTCTTTTTTTGATATTTTATTTACAATGTTAATGTGAAACATTCCCAGAAAATAAACCATTTTTTCTATACTTAATGAAAAATTTAATTTTATTTATCAAAATCATTATCCTTGGAAAAGGTAAGTCACCGCGTCGTAAACGAAATAAATTTATTAAATAATGTGCTTTGTATATTTTTTAATATTTTTTTCGTTGTACATACATACATACATATTTCTACCATTACCAAATCTAAATCTCGAATACGAATGTATATAAGGGCAGTGGTTGCATTCACGAAAAATTAAAAGAAAACTACTTAAGAAAAATCATTAGTAAAACCTTAAGGATAAGAAAAGAGGTCAGTAAAACAATAATACAAACAATTTTTTTTTTATTCTGTTATCAAAATAAATTAAATTTTAAGTAAACACGCAAAATTTTTATGTTTTTTAAGTAATTTTTTTTTTTACTTACATATTTATAAATCATTATTTGAAATACGAAAAAAAAAATATTTTAATTTGTGGTTTTCACTTAAAATTTTCATATTTCATGACATTAATTTGTCATGTTCATGTCAGTAAAACGAAAAAAAAAAACCTGTTATGAAAGAAAATCATTATTCATGTGTGTACCTATAAAAAATTCCATAAATTTGAATAAAATCTTGTATGCAAATATATTTAATTAATTTTTCTGATTTTATTGACTAATATATACGGAATGCGTGTATTATTTTACTTAAATGGTCAGTTTAACATGATTTTTTAGTATGCTCTACTTTTTTTTTTCTATCAAATATAAGTAGGTACCTGATTTTGTAAAATTTTTTTTAGAAAATATTTGAAAAATAATATGTGATTTAATTAAAAATTAATAATTTTTATTATGAAAATTGAATTAAGTTTTTAATTATATTTATACTGGCTGCGATATATGGAAAATGAAATATTGAAGAATGGTTTTCGATTGTAGAATCGAACATCTTAATATTGTTCATTTTAATAAGCTTATGTATTTTTTTATTTGAATTATTTTCTAAATAGTAAGGGTATTTATCAGGTACATATTTGACATATGCTCAAACTATGCTAAAATTTCTAGGCTTCAATATTCTAATTCTTCGAGGAACGATGTCTTCTAATATGACATTTCCAGTTACGACCCAATATAATGCAAGTAACTTTTGTTTGACTTACGACATTAAAATATTTTGAATTTTGATAACCAGTCAATAGGAATAAAACTGTTTGGACACATTTAAATTTTTAAAGTTAGGAAAAATATTAAAGTATATAAAAAAGCTACGTAAAACGTATTTAATTTAATTTCTTATCGGATATATACCTAGTTATGTACACAACTACAAATGAATTGATTAATTTTAGTATGAAATTAATTTTTATTTAATTTATTTTTTGTTAATGGTTACAGATTTTTGTTTCTTTATTATATGCTTTAACAACGTAATAAACTCTCAAAACTGGTTTTCAAAAATTTCAGTAGTTTGATAACAAACTAATTTGTTATTAAGAATGGGTAACCGTCGAAATAAAAATCAAACTGCAAAATCCTAAAAAAAATCAGAGAAAAACAAGTTAATAAATTTTAATTAAAGTTTAAATATGAAGAATTCTGTTTGTGTTTCAAAACAAAAAAAAATATTAAAAAACAGAATTGTATTGGAAATAAAAAATTGGAATACAATTGAATCCTTATATACCGAACACTTAGATTTCATTTAAACACGGCAACAATTTATGTGTGTTAGATAAATTTCGTAATATACAAGACCTAATCATCATCGGCGATCATCATTTATTGATTTTAATAATATTATCAGTAAATAATGTTATTAAAATCATTAAAAATAACATCATAGCCGCAAAATAGTTTTTTAATGTTAGCTCTTTGCGATTCACTTAGAATTTTCATTTTTCTATTGTTCTGACACACACCTCATTCGGTTAAAATTTAGCTGAATTTGACAATGATAGTTCCAAAAATTCATACAGCCCTAATTGCCCAATTGCATCAAAATCGTCCTGAACAATGTAGGGCTAAAACCAATTAAGAAATATATGATAGTTACTCACTTTCTTTTCACTTGGCGCGTAAAATAACGGCGCGTAAAATAAGTCCCAAAAAGAGTTGATCAAGAGTTGATGAAGAGGAAAGTACTAATTCCAAAACATTTCTCTCTGTAAATAGAGATTTTCGTTGATATTGAGAGACTTAATATATTAGAGGCTATTATATTAAAAAGAAATCATATTGAAAGAGCTCTAAATCAACTAAATTTTAAGTCTAATTTTAAGTCTACATTATTTATTGATTCTAAGTCTGCATTAATATATTATTCTGTATATACTACTATTCTGTATACTGTACGTTATGTATGCCAATTTGCGGTTAATCATGTTGAAAGATAAGAAAGAGAGGAGAGTGCCATGTAAAACTGAAATCCTATAGTATTTTCGACTAGAGTAGACCAATTTGGATAAGTTTAACAAATATTTGCTACACATGTATCGTCTGCACCCATCACCCATTTTATCAAGTACCAATAAATGTCATAATAGTACCACTGTGAGTGTTAAGTTTTTTAATTTAAAACAGCGGTACTAAAAAAAAGTAGTTCTATTGCGTAATTACAAAAATTGTCTTCTGCATAGCACTACTATTAACTATATATATAATATACATATACACAATGCCATTAGTCAACTAAGATATAGTAAATTAAAATTTCAAGTTAAATTATTAAAATTTAAAATTGATATCTTTTTATTTTTGACTTTTACTATTTTGCTTGTAGAAAATACTCGAGAGCCCTCTTTTGTTTTTTTTGCATGCTTCTTCCACATTTAATAAATCAAATAAGGGTATGATGGGATCCAAATAAATGCTGAATCATATACCAATAACAGTCATTTTGGATATTTTAGCAGAAGAAACTTTTATAATTAAAAATAATTACTTAATTTCACTCCCATACGTTGAACAACAAATAAAATAATTTTTTTGTAAAGGACTTTGTTGCGGAAAAGGAAAACATAACAAAACTCACTCGTTGCATAAAATGCTTAAAAAAAAGGAAGTCATAAGTAGGTGGAATTTATAAAAAATATATATACATACAATATACATATATATATATATATATATATACATATACATATTTCATTGGCATAAAATCATACATTAACATTGGGAAAATTTTGTTTGAACAAAAAAAAACCTTTATTTATTTTAATATTTTGGCAAAGATAAAGTTTTTTGTTTTAATGGGGCATTTATAAAAGTAATTTTTGTAAATAAAGTTTTAGTTATTTTTCACATATTGTATATTTCATAATCTTACATAATGCATGCCATGTTATATTTAAACTTACATATGTATATAAATCAATTTACTCATGTAAGGTTTTCAAAAATGATAATTAAATTTGATATGGCATAAACCGTGTAACCTATTATACTTGATATATTTGCTATAGGGTGTCCGAGACTCAACAGTACTTCCCATAGTAGAGTGATAGAATGACCCCAGACAAACAAAAAACACCTATTGATATTTTGTTTTTTGAACCCTATTTCTTGTTCATGACGTTTCAAAGTCGTAATATCTGAAAATTGTGTAAAGGAAAATTTATTAAAAAATTTTTTTTAAAATTTTGACTTTGCACTTCGACAACATCGACACACCATTAGAATTCCCTGAGTTTCAAAATATGTGTACAAAGTTGGCTTTACCTGTCAAATTAGCCAAGTTATCAATAAGAATGTAAAAATTAGATGGTTAAATTCCAATTTTGATGCCTCATAACTTAAGAAGGAGAACCCAGAAAGTAAAATGTCAGTAGGTGTTTTTGGTTCCTCCAAAATCATTCTATCATCCTACTACGGGAGTACTTTGTTGAGTATCTGTATAGACTGTATATACTGTGTTGACATCCTGTATAAACTGTATAATATTATGTAAGTGGTAAAGAGGAAGGAAGCAGATTTTAGTGTCAAAGTTAATAGAAAACGTGACTACAATCTTCATGAAATTTTTGTAAATAAATTTACGTTATTCAAACATTTTATCTTAATAATACTTTCAAGAGTATGAAGTAATATTCAAAATTGAAATTCTTTTAAAAAAAATAACTAGAAAGTTATTTAAAATAAATCTTTCTGGTTTAATATTAAATTAAAGTTATTATGAAATATGGTGAAATTTAAAATTTAATGTTGGATTCTTATGTTATCAAAATTAGCTTGAAATTTTTAATATATTTAGATAAACAGAATGATTGTCAAATTAAATTTTCTATCTCGAACGTAGTAGCAGATTTTAACTGTTAATTAATCATTAGCTGAAAGAATAAGTTTAATACTCCCTTAGTAACGTAAAAAGAACTTAATGTAATTAAAAATTTCGCCAAGACATTGTAAAAACTGTAAATAAAGAGCTTGAATATTAGTTCATATCTCATTGCTTCTGTTATCTTTGGTTTTAAAGTACTGCAGAAATTTAAATTAAAAATTTTTCTATATGGTTTCTCCTGATACATACAAGCCAATGCATGTACATAGATGGAGTTGTTTAAGTTAACCTTGTTGAATTAAAATTATTTATTAAATTTATTAATGTTTTGTTTTTTTCATTCCAAGAAATTTATTAAGTTTTCGAAACTAATTAATTCAAAAAAATTTTAATTTAAAATTCATATATGCATAAATAAATTCACATAATAAATATAGTCGTTAATAAAAAAAATCAAATATTTAAAATATTAATTGTATAATAAGCAGGTTAAAATTGAAGAGTTTTGCTCTAAAAACTTCTGACATAAAGCGAGCGATATTAAAAAAAAAAAATTGCCACCTCATATTTTAACCCTTAAATTTATGTTCTATACTATAAATAATAGTAAAGTCATACATACATAATGAGTATACATAAATAACTGTAAATGTACAGTTTCACTACCCATGAAATTTATTTTATATAAAGTAGCAAATGTAGAGAGGTGCATATTTTTATATTTTAAGCCAAAAATGATTATAATAAAGTCGCGTGTGAGATGGTAATCTAGTGTATAGTCCAGACCTCTATGAAATATGTATGTATGTATTTTTGTATTGTACTGTACTAAATGTCTAACTAAAAGGTATACATATGTGAGTGTGTACGTACATAATAGTAAAATATTATTTCGTTCACCTCTTTTGTGAATTCAAATGAATAAAATAATAATAAGAAAACCGATTTAAAAAGGAAGTTTTACAAAGTCAAGTAAAAGGAAAAAAACCCAAATAGAGTTGGTAATGCCAAAATGAATATAATATGAAAAGTGAGAATGAAAGTATTTTGCTAATTTGAAAAATTTTCAATGTTTTCCAAAGGATTTTCAATAAAATTTAACATGATTTGTATACTAATACATACGTACATAAATCACAAGCTCACATAAATATTGTTATATAAAAATCTATATTACTATTGAAAATATGTATGTATATATATAATATGCTTATATTATAGATATATATCCATTTAGTTTCATAAAGTCACAATTAGGTTTTATTTGCAAAACATTTTAATATTCATACATGAATTTTAAGAAAATCAGTGATGTAAATCATTTGAAAGAAAATTGAAACATTAAAATAAGGTATTTATATTTGTTCATAGGTAACAAGTACGAGTATTTGTGATTTTATATTTTTGACACTTTATGTTTGGTCTTGGACTAAATTATGACAAAAATTCTGCAACGCAGCTGCAGCATGCAAAGTAAATCATTGACTTTTGTATAAAACGTAAAACACAATTTGTATAAAACGTCAAAAACTGAACAGGGAATTTTTAATTCCAAGTGTTTACAATTTGAATTAAAGATATGAACGCAATACAGTTTTCGTGTGCCGATTTTGCTATTTAATATTAAATAAAGAAATATAGGAAACAATTTGTTTTTTACAACAAGATGCCGCATCCATTTGGGAATAAATATTGCTTTTCTTCCCATTCCCCCATCCAGTTTTTGTTAAGGAGTCATATACTGTTTCACAGCTCTAGATCATTTTTTGGCGTAGTGCGAAATCCTTCGATTCAAATAAAAAAATCACGTAAATTTTGCTTTTTGTTTTCGTTATAACGGGTTAAAAGATTAGCCTTATTATTAATGTAATATCACCATCTAACCCTTATATACATATTTCTTAGAAATTACGTACAGGAATAGCGAGCAATTATTTTGCACGCCACTGAAACAATTTTTGTTTTATTGTTAAACTCCTGTTGTTATTTTATTATTATTTCCTTATAGAAGTTTGTTGTTTTATTTTAATATTTTACAAAACATAAAAAAGAAATTCTTATAGAAATTTTAGTTGATTAGCGGGCATGGAACTGTTTAGTTTGTTTTTCATCTTTCTCAGTTATGTTTAAAAAAAAAGAAATAAAATAAACGGTTAATATTTTTCCCCCTTTATAACGGTTAACATACAAAAGAATTTATAAATAAAATTTTTAGAATTCTAAATATTTGATACAAAAAGGATTAAAAATAAATAATTTTTTTGTATATAAAATGTTTTCAAAAATTAATTTAATTTTGCTTTTAGTTAAAATTTCAAAAATAAAATTCTTCAAAACAAATTGAGTTACAGTTAAATAAATAAGTATATGGAAAAAAAAAAAAAACAAAAAATTTTAAGAATAAAATTTAAAAATTTAAAATTATAAAAAAATAAAATTTTTATTAAAAAAAGATTTTTTTAAAAATATTAAAAAAATTGTGAAAATATTTTCGGCGATGCTGTAAAATTTTAGTGAATTAATTTTTAAAACGCCATCTTTATTGATTTAATTAAAAGAAAAAAAAAATTGTAATTTAATCAAAGAAGAAAAATAATCAAAGTGAATTTATTGAGTTTAAAAACAAAAATAAAAAGTATGGAAAAATATTTGATAAAATTAATAATAGGATTTTTAACATTTCAATTAGTTGAAATTGTTAATGGTAGAGATGCTCCGCCAGTTGTGTTACCAAATCAGGGTACAATTATGGGAATTTATATGAAAATGTACCGTACACAAATTATTAAAGCATATTTAGGTATACCATATGCAATATCAGAACGTTTTCAACCACCAGTCGTTGATGTTTTACCATCATGGACCGGTATACGTAATGCATCAAAATTTGGACCGGATTGTTGGCAAAACTCTAAACGACCATTAAAAAAACATACAGAATTTTTTCAAAAAGTACTTACAACAAATCGTATTGTAAATGATGACAAAATATATGATGAAAATTGTTTGTACCTGAATATTTTTATACCTGATGGTAAATAATGTGTTACATGTACATATAAATAAATAAATAAATTAAAATAATGTAAAATAATAATTAAGTAGGATTCAAATATTTTGAATTAGTGGCTCTCTGTTGGAGTTGAGAAAAGCTATTATAAATTAAAGTTTTTTTTCAAAATTATCCCCCCAAAACTCTTGTCTTTGAAATCTCAAATGTGTGCACGCTCGCAAATTTTATTCAACAAAATTCATTCATTTTAAATTTATTTGTTAGATTCCCGTGAATAATGCCTATGTGTATGTGTATTGTAAATTTTCTGCGTTATGTTTGCCTTAATATTATTAGTTGTATAAATGTTCCCGCAAGAGTTAAATAAACTTTTCATTTCCGGTTAATTATATAGAAAAAGAAAGAGAATACAAAAAATTTGGGTTAATTTGATTCGGAAGAAATTTATATTGCATATTGTTAGGCTGTAATTCGGTAAATTAAAAATCAAGAAACAAAAAATACCTTTACTAATTTTTTTTCCCTTTTATTTGTGTGTCGTTATTGTTATTCTTATTATTTTCATTTTTCCTGTGGAAAATCTTTTCTTTAGGTAACCATAGCAGTTATTTGGTTGTTTTTTAAAAGTTGTTATGTATTTTTTTCTTGTTTTTGTTTTTAAAGGAGAGCTGCGGGTTGAATTTTTTGGTTTTGTCTTTTTTTAACAAGGTAAAATAAAAATAAACAAGCGACCATGTAAATTTCCTTGCATTCCGATTGATTTTGAATAATTTTGGTTGTCGAAAAAATCAATTTTGAATATAACGTTTGCTTTTTTTCGGTGTTTTCACGTTTTCTGTTTTCCTAAGTTAAAAAATTTCATTGTTGTGTTTTGTTTTCATATTTCTTTTGTCTATTTCGTTTTGTATTTTAGTTATTTTATGAATATAAATTTAGTATTTAATGTTCATGTATATACAAGGGAATTTTATGACTTGAAATAAAGTGTGATTCTACATTATATTGGTTGGTTTACTGATGATAAACACACACCCATACAATGAATGTAGATTGTAGATTGCTAGAGAAGGATATAGGCAAAGGAATACTTTACCTCCCATCAACGCAGTCAGCCATGGTTTATTGTGGTCCTTTCATATTCCACTTACACTATCTTAGTCTCAAGTGAACACCTATGGAGATGTCCATTACGGGGCTGAACATAAACTTCTCAACACCGAGAAAGTTCCACCTAAACTATCTGCGTCTCTTGACGGCAAAAGCAGGACAGTCGCGCAAAATTTGTATGGCTGTCTTTTTATCGTCCTGACAGAAGCTACACAAATGGGAGTCCGATTTGCCCAGTTTTTAAAAATGATATTTTACCGGACAATTCCCATTGAAGCCAGTAATAGATGAACACGATTTCGTTCATTCCCAGTAGCTCTGCAGCAACTTCCTTAGGCAAAATGGGAGGAATAGCTTTATATGATGATATTCCTCAGTAGCAAGTAGTCAGCAATCTCGTCACGTCTGTTCCCTGGACAACTCAACCTCTGAGGCCCTGTCAGTTTGGCCTGAACACCCCCCAGTTTTATTTAGTGGTAAGACACCATGGACCAATAGGTAACGTTAGGCTTAGCTCTGGACATGTATAGCTACAGTGCTACCTTGCTAACCACTCATGCTTTGCCATTCAAACTCTTACACATCCACAAGGCCTTCGTTACTCTTTCAATGACACTGTCTTTATGAGTGTTCCATGCAGAGGCGATCATGCAAGCTGCCCGCAAATATTAAACTGGTTGGAGTGCGCAATACGCTGACCAAACTACAGTACGACTTGTTAGTTGCTCCCCATTTCCACGTTTTGTGTCGGCAACGAATCTGCTTTTACAAGTACAATGTTCTCAGATTCTATTGCACAATATTAGAAATCGTACCCTGGATCGGCCCCAGATGATACAAAAGAATCCCGCCCTTCGTAGATCCCGGCAATCTTTCGTAAATATAGAGTGTGTCATCAGCTATGGCAGGTTTAATAATTCTATTCTGTAGCATACGGCCAATCCATTTGCGCATGGTACTGTATGGTGTGTTGTCAAACGCCCTCTCAATGTCAAGAAAACAACCAACTGCTTTATTTGTATCTAGAGAGTTCTTTACGCTTCACACTAGACTCTGCAGAGAGACCGAATGTAGTGGATCTTCAACATCATTGAGTTCATGCCTCTTGCAAGATCAGTTAATTTGAGTACCCTGTGAAGGAAGAGTAATCAACGTCAGTATTCTTGTATATACCGCAAGAAATCATAATCAGGGAGATATTCATTTTCTTAATAATTGAAGTGTTTCGCGACTCGCGTAATGATTTCTACTTTGGGTTTGCAGAATATTAATTAGTAACTTGAATATTTAAGAATAATGGTTTGTTCATTATTCCAAGTATAGTTTCCAGTTTTTTTTTACTTAATTGAAATTACAATGAATTAGCTAATGTTATCTAAAATTTTGCGTTTTAAGTGATTACTTTACATGAATAATTTTAAATTTTTTTACATAAAATAACGTTTCAAAAAAAGGGCTTATTTTTACCATTACACAAACGTGTGTTATTCTACAGGTAGCTTGAAATTTTATTATTTAATAGAATTTCTGCTTTATTGAAAAAATAATACATAACCAAACTATTGATATGCATATTGATTTCCATTTCCGGTTACCTAATCAACACAAAAAACACAGAAAAACAAAAAAAAATATTAAAAATAAAGAAATTCTATTAGAATGTAGAAATCAAGAATCTTTTTTTATATTTAATAAATGTTTATATACAAAACATTATATTTGCAAGGACACACATTTAGATCTTACAGAATATGAGGAGAAAGGGTGCTAAAAGTGTTTTAAAACTTTCTTTGCCTTCCATAGTTATTTGGTTATTTTTGTTTATTGTTTTGAAACTGTTTTTTTATAAATCTAAATAAAATAAGAATTTTTCGTCATAATTGAATTGGGGAAACAAAAACAAAAATAAAAGGAGAAAAGAAGAAGTTTAGGAATGCATACAATCATCATATTGCAATTATTATCAATTTCAAATTTTTTTCATCATAAATACTCACATACACTAGTTTATATACATACAAAGTGAAAAGAAATTAAAAGAATCATTCCCAAATGGTTTTATTGCAAAGTCACGAGACTTTATAAAATACACTAAAGCATATAATAAGCATAAGGAAATACATACATACACACATATGCATGTGCAAATAATATAATTTATTTATTATATATAATATTATTTAAAAGTCATATTTCATATTGAATAAACTTGAAAGTTGTTATCTACATACCAATACGTACAAGTGTTGTGACTTGAGTACAAACCTTTAAATATAATTGAAATGAGCGAATGAGGTGTAAAATAAGTTTTCTGCAGATAAAAAATTAGAAATTTTTCTAAGAAAAAAAACTTCATATTCTATGGTTTTATTTACGTATTACCTTAAATGATTTCCGAGGACAAGTTTTAGTATAGGATCACTCAGAACAAGCTGATTGGTTTAGATGGCTAGCATGACCCACATTGCATGGCACTCCAATTAGCACAGATATGCCGTTTTGTTACAAGATTGAACATAAGAGTCATCCCCTTCTAAGGAATTTGTCTCTATCTCTATCACTTTTGCTAAAGATAATGTAAAGCCCAGCAATGCTTGCCTCACCCAACGAGAGCAATTTGCAGAGTTGACTCACAGAGGTAGTGAAAAAAGTATAATTTTTTCACCAACCTCCCGATAACTGTAATAAGAAGTATCAAAAAAATTTTTGGCTAAATTCTATCGCGAAAGAAGTTTTATAGGATATTTGAAAGGAGCTTTATTACGATCGTATTTAAGCCATAACTTCCTTGCCGCCCCACATGTGGCAAACCTTCTATACATGTGCCCGGGAAGCGATAGATGACAGTTAAATATATCGGAACAGCCGCTGCGGTACCTATCTCCTCATTCGCAGAACTGACTCAAAACAAACGTTATAATAGAATTAATTTTCAATGGGAAATTTCTTAGAGAAGTTTTCAATCCGACAGTTATCTTATATACAACATAATCTTATTCATAAACATAAATTTTAGGAACCAACATTTCATTTATTTTTATTTAAACTTTAACAATATACTGATCAGAATACTAATAAAATTTTAATAAAATAATAAAATTTAAAAGAAATTTTGTCGGACTGCATTTTACCGTAAGAATTACATATGTATGTATGTATACATATGTATATTCGTATAGTAATAATTAAATAGATGAGAAAAAGTGAGGAAGAGAATGAGAAGGAAATGAAATTGAAAAAAAAAATAACAATTGATTTTTAATCGTGTTTTGTTTTTTATAAATGCCCTACATTTTTGCATCATATTCTTTGACAGACATGAAATACGAAAAACAAAAAAAAAACAAAAAAAAATATTATAGGTCGAGATTTCTGACACAATGATGTTATGACTCAAGGAATTATAAGTAATGTATTGCAAAAACGTTATTTATGTATATATTTTTCTATGTATGTTTTTAGACATTCAATTCAAATATTTACCAAGGATTTACCGTTTATTATGAGAAATTATTTTAATTTTTTACATTTTCATTTCTACTGCATATGCATGAGACTCGCCATAGTCTTGCATGAATATATGTACGTATTTCATTATAAGGTTGTATATGTACTTAAATATGTTTATTTTACGTACATTTGTACGTACATACATGTGTACTTATAAATTTCAATTTTCGTATATAAATACGAAACTTTAGAAGCAATTGTAAAAATTTTCTAAATTTAAATTTTTTTATTGAAGTGTCTTTCATAAAAATTAAAATGATTTATTAGAAAGAAAAAGTAAAGAAAAAGAAAATTAAATTTCGGTAAATTTAATTTTTTTTTCGTTTTCTCTAAATAATATCAAAAATAAGCAAAAACTAAATTAAACGAAAACTCCAATTACGTTATTCAGGAAATTTTCATTA